GTCTGTAATGCAAAACTGTGCAGGAAAAAGTAGCCCATAGCGAACACCTGGCTGGCCGCGAAGAAGCCTCTCCACCTCCATAAACGCCACTCAAGCTCTGACCACGCTTGAAGCGTAGTCTGCTGTGATGATGGTCTGCGATTCCTTGAAGTGGAGCAGGCCCTGGCTGCATGCCTGCTGTAATACAGCAGGGAGTGGTGGCGCAGAGGTTAGAGAGGTGGGCTTGTGATCCGAAGATCGCCGGTTCACGCCCCGGCCCCGACAACATCAAAATTGTGGGTGGGGTAGGTGAAACACCCACACTTGCCCCCACCCTCATTCGCCCCACTCTGGGCCCATGAGCAAGGCCCTTAACCCTTAAATGTGCTCCCTAAACAGGTCTCTCTTGAAAATGAGTTCTCGTGGCTCAATGAGACTAACCTGGATAAATAAAGGCTAAAAAAAAAAAAAAATACATCCAAGCAGTCTTGAAAGTAGGATAGTTTAGCAACAATAATTCTCAGCCTTTCACCTGACTTCCTCCCGCTCAACGTTCGGTTCGAGCGGTCAATCAATGGCTTCTTGTCCAGCTGCAGAACCTCAAAAAGTAGATTAGCAACAGCCGTTGTGGAGCTGGACTCTGACATCTCGGGGCCGCCCAGGATTCTCATGTTGCACCTTCTCATACGACCTTGCACTGCTTTTTCATCCCATTTATCTCATCCTTCATCGCTATCATGGTGCTGCGCAGTGTCAAATTTTTCCATCCAGGTGGACAGTCCATCTTTGATATGTTTCACGCTTTGTTTCACCTGGTCTATTTCAGTTCTAAATGCCACCTCTGCTCTCACAGCTTGAAGCTCACTCTTAATACCCTTTGTTAAGAAATCAGGTCTCTCTTGTAAATGAGTCTCCGAGGCTCATTGGGATTAACCTGTCTAAATAAAGGTTGAATGAATAATAAAGGCAAGATCCTCTGCGAGGGCGGCCTTCATCTCCAACTTAATCTCTGCCGAGATTTTTGTTTTAATAGAGGCCAGAATGTCTGTCTTTTGGGCCGACACGCCTGTCTCTCTGAGATTGTGTGGGGACGGAGTCAAGTCCCTAGCATTAGGAGTATCCCAGCCTGAGGAGGCACTAGGCCCCGTGGCTGCAGAACTCGCATATTTATATTTCTTTAATTTAGATGCCATTTCTGAGCTTTGACAAGTTAATCACACACCCTTGTTGAATGATAGATCATCCAATGTAGAGGCAGCGAGAATATCTTCATGTGAGGTGGGTTTTAGACAGAATTAGCAGGAGCCAAAGCCGGTCCACCTTACCACATTGCCACCATCTTCTTTCGGAAAGTACACTTTTGTTTTAAGTTACTGTAAAATAAATATTCAGTCAATTAAAAAAAGTAATATAGTAGAGTTTTTAAACAAAAATCTTTAAAACATTAAAATAAAATTAAAAAAATTATTTAAATTAGATATTTTTATTTGAGGCTGAGACAGCTCTAAAAGACCAACTAGTTTTTTTGTGTAAAATATTTAAAACTAGTATTTTGGAGCAGTTAAATAAGGTGGTTGATTTCCCCTGTGAGGAACATAAATAAGAGTCATAAAGTTAGAATTAAAATCGTCTTATTCAAATGTTCTCAAATGTTCATAATGTGATGCTTTTGATGTCGATCAGATTTTATGATCTTGTTTATAGTTACAGAAAACAAAGTAGTTTTTGAGCTGCATTCATTCAGCTGGGACTGCTGCAAGATACAGAATAAAGATACATTCATTGTGAAATAATTATTTATTAGATTCTTGAAACAGTATTCCATCTTGCTCTACACATTATTGAAAGATACTGCTGACTATTACTTCATAACTCTTCATGCCTGTGATGCTGGTGAGACATTTTCATCAGTGATCAGTGTTTAAACAGTCTGCGTTCACCAGCATTTTAACCAAACAGAACATCTATGAGTTGATGTTGGGAAATTACCTCCAGCCTCCTACTCTTAACAGTTACTGAGAAGGTTGGAGTAAACCAGGGGACAGAATACGTGAAGGTAACAGAATGTGTTTTAACTGGGGAAAAAAGAGTTTAGGATATTAGATGTTTTTTATATTGAGCATTCAGTAAATCATGGGTTAAACAATGTTCAGGGGTCATAGCACAGGTGACGCTAGTAGAAAGGGAATCCAAATTAATGTATTAAATGTTCCAGAATGAGATGAGTCGGGCTGCATTGGTTGAGGAGAGACTATATTGAATGAAAGAAAAAAAATATAAGTACAGTTCTGAGTGTTATCTACCGCTATCCTGCTGACAAATAGATTTATCTTCCTCTATGCTGATGACAGAATGATTTATCTGCCTCTGTGCTAACGACAGACAATTTTATGGTATATGATATATTCAACCATTTATGGATGGATTTTTGTCATATATCCATATATGATATGGTATATGGATGGATGCATGGATATTCAATTCAATTCAATTCAATTCAAAAATACTTTATTAATCCCAAAGGGAAATTATTTGTTGTTGTAACTCCATCCATCCATCCATCCATTATCTTTACCCGTTTATTCCATTTTGGGTCACGGGGGTCGCTGGTGCCCATGTCCAGCAATCACTGTGCGAGGGGCGGGGTACACCCTGGACAGGTCGCAAGTCCATCACAGGGACACATAGAGACAAACAAGACAAACAACCATTTACTCTCTCACTCACACCTAGGGACAATTTAGAGTTACCAATCAGCCTAACATGCATGTTTTTGGTCCGTGGGAGGAAACCGGAGCACCCGGAGAAAACCCACGCATGCACAGAGAGAACATGCAAACTCCACCCAGAAAGGCCCCTGGACCGGGGTTTGAACCAAGGACCTTCTCGCTGAGAGGCAGCAGCTCTACCAGTTGCGCCACCGTGCTGCCCGTTGTTGTAACTCATTATCCTCATTTCATTAAGAGCTGTTATAGATACTGATGGTTGTAGGCAGGAAGGATCTCATGTAAAGGTTCATCCCACAATGGGTCCTAAGAAACTGGCTGCAGATATACTGATGGAAGCGAGGTAATGCATATCTCTTCACTTCCTGATTGCTCTGCTGGCAGCAGAAATAAATTGTTGGAGGAATAATTTGTTTTACTAGATTTATCTATCTTTTGCACAGTTCGAAATTTTAGTACACAAACACCCTCAATACAGTTGTTTTCTATAGTTGGGTTGTGCTTGAGACACCTTTTGTCTGTCAACACTTCTTGGTTTTTATCAGTGTATTTGAACTCTGCTAGCTCTTGCTATTGTTAGCTTAACATGGTTTTTGGTTCCCTTCTGGCTTTTTCTGTTCTCACTTGCTCTGTGTGTCAGATGTTCCTCTACCACCTTTAGATATAAGATAAAAGATGTCTTGTCTGCCAGAAACTTATCTGAAGGCCTTGATGACATTCAGGCTCGGATGTTTCTGAAACCACAAAACTGAACTGATGGTCGTTCGTAGTTCTTCAGTCTCTTTACATTTTGGTTCTTTTGTCCAGAACATCAAGCTGTTCAAATCTTAAAAATGACAGTCAGATAAAGTAATTTGTTAGATCGAGTATCTTTCATTTGAGACAGCTGATCAAGATAAGTGCCCGTTCTTTCCCAGCAGCTGTTTGAAACAGTAATCCATGCCATTGTTACTACCCAAACTGGACTCCTGTAACACTCTGTATGTCGGGGTCAGAGCGTCTGCTGCAGCCAGATTACAGAAGATACAGAATGCAGTGGCACGTTTGTTACCTGGCACTCTAAATTGTCCCTAGGTGAGAGTTGGAGAGTGAATGGTTGTTTGCCTCGTTTGCCTCTATGTGGCCCTGTGATGGGCTTGCGACCCATCCAGGTGTACCCCGCCCCACGCACAGTGATTGCCAGACATGGGCACCAGCGACCCCCGTGACCCAAAATGGAAGAAGCGGGTAAAAGATAATGGCTGGCATTAAAAAGTTCTTTCTTTGTTTTTAAATATTTAAATGGTCATGCTCCTTCTTACATTTCAAAGCTGTCTTCCCTTACCTACCTGTCCATTCTCCCAGGTTTGCTGATCTGACCGGATCTGAAGGCAGGTATCAGTTCAGAAGGGACCACATTAGACCAGCATCCTACTCTGCTGCTTATAAATATTCACTAAAACTCATTTTCATTGCCTTTTGTTTCCTGTTAAGTGTTGATTTAGGTGTTGAACAGAACCAAGTTCAAACTTCTCCTGTGAGCCTTCAAAGACTTTAATGACTTTTAGTAAGGAGGACAGGGAGAGTGCTTTGCATGTAAGGTCAGAGTTTGGAATGCCACAAAACATTTTCTTATAAATCTGACGTTCCATTAGCGGTTTACAAGGTTTACACCAAAAGTTCATGCTCAGTAATCCAGGTGCAAATCCAACATTCAGTCAGGTCATTTGGACGGTTTCTTTCTTTTTTTTTTTTCCGAGATGTTTCGTCCTTCATTCCAAGGAATTCTTCAGTCTGAGGAGCCACAGACAACCTGGAGTCCCACAAATACCACGCTACCATAGTGGGGGGAAAAAAACCCAGTTTGCTGGTGATAAGATAATTTCTGGTTTACAAGGTTTAATTTCAATTTACAAAACGTGACAAATAAAACCTTTAAATGGTTTCACCATCATTTATTCACATCTAAGCAGTTTTTTTATTGTGTTTCTTCTCTGAAGCTTCTCGAAAGCTTAAGATTTGTTTATGCTGGAATTGAGATTTTCTTTAATGTAAAAAATCCATAAAATCCATTTTTCTTCTGTCAGTCAGTCAAGACAGATCTGTTCTCACGCTAATAAATGTTTCAACTTAAATAGTGTTCCTTCCTACAGAAGAACAGAGTCGGACCCAAATGAAACATGTTAACTCAGGTTCTTTGTCACTTTCACTTCCTGTTGTCCCTTCACAATAAAGTTCCAGACTCTCACTGTAAGATTTTGTGCAGCTGTGATTCTGCTGATACGGAACTCATCATATGGTTTTGTTTGTCCTTAGATGAACGAGAGGCAGTTCAGAAGAAGACCTTCACCAAGTGGGTCAACTCCCACCTATCCAGGGTCTCCTGCAGAATCACAGACCTCTACATGGACCTGAGAGATGGACGGATGCTCATCAAACTGCTAGAAGTTCTCTCCGGGGAGAAGCTGGTACCTGACATGACACAAACATGCTGAAAATACAGAGAAAATACTGAACTGAAAGATCCATCCATCCATCAGTCCATCCATCCATTATCTTCCACTTGTTCCAAAGCCGGGTTGTGGGGGCAGCAGCTTGAGCAGGAAGATCCAGATATCTCTTTCCACAGTCACCTCTTCCAGCTCTTCTAGGAGGACTCCAATGTGTTCCCAGGTCAACCCAGAGACATAGTCTCTTTTCTGGGGTCTTCTTCCAGTTGGACATGCCTGAAACACCTCCCTAGGGAGGTGCCCAGCGAGCATCCTTACCAGATGCCCGAACCACCTCAACTAGCTCCTCTTGATGTGGAGGAGCAGCGGTTTTACTCTGAGTCTCTCCCTGATAATTGAACTTCTCACCCTATCTCTTTCTACACCTGAACTGTCATTCTGTGTTTGTCTGTTTTTCCTTCCTGATTTCTCAAAGCCCAGCCGGTCGAAGTACTGTAGATGGTTGCTCGTCCTGAGCCTGGTTCTGCTGAAGTTTTCTTCCTCTTAAAAAGGAGTTTTTCCTTTCGGCTGTCTCCTTTGTGCTTGCTCAGCATAGGAGACTGCGGCAAAGTGAAGATTCAATGTACCGGTAATCTGCTGGCATCCTTAGATAGATAACTTTTACTAATTGGCTTATTTAAATGTATGCAAAAGTTTTTGTACAGTGCCCTGAAATGATTTCTGTTGTGACTTGGCGCTATATAAATTAACTGAATTGAAATTTAATTGAATCGCTATGGGAGAGTCCAGCTACCCTGTGGAGGAAACTCATTTCAACCGACTATATCCATGATCTCGTTCTTTCGGTCACTACCCAGAGTTCGTGACCATAGGTGAGGGTAGGAATGTAGACCGACTGATAGACAGAGACCTTTGCCTTACAGCTCAGCTCCCTCTTCACCACAACGGACCGGCACAGAGTCCGCAATACTGCAGATGCCACACCAATCAGTCTGTCAATCTCACGCTCCATTCTTCCCTCACTTGTGAACAAAACCCAGAGATACTCGGAACTCCTCCACTTGACGCAGAACTTCACCTTCTACATGAAGAGAGCAATTATTCACCCTTTTCCGACTGAGGGCCATGGCCTCAGATTTGGAGGTGCTGATTCTCATCCCAGCTGCTTCACACTCAGCTGCAAATCACTCCAGTAAGAGCTGAAGATCATGGCTCAATGACATCAACAGGACTACATCATTTGCAAAGAGGAGAGATGGAACCTGAAGCCACTGAACTGGACTCCTGCCGTCCCTAGTTGCAACGAGAAATTCTGTCCATAAAACAGAGTCGTGACAATGGGCAGCCCTGGCAGAGTCCAACTCCCACCCTAAAGGGGTCTGACTTACTACCCACACAATGCGAACCAAACTCTCACACTGCTTGTATAGGGACTGAACAGCCCGTAGCAACAGCCCCCCAACCCCATACTCGTGGAGCACCCCCCACAGTGTACTCTTAGGAATACACTCAAACACCTTCTCCAAGTTCACAAAACATATATAGACTGAATGGGCAAACTCCCATGACCCCTCAAAGACCCTAGTGAGGGTAAAGAGCTGGTCCAGTCTTCCATTTTCAGGCCAGAACCTTCATTATTCTTCCAGAATCTGAGGTTCGAACAACGATCAAGCTCGCTTCTCCAATACCCCTGAATAGACCTTACCAGGGATCCCCCTTTTTGAAGAGGGGTACCACCACGTCTGCCATTCCAGTGGCACTGCCCCCAATGTCCACACACATTGCAAAAGCGTGTCAACCAAGACAGACCCATAACATCTAGAGCCTTAGGAAATCATGACAAATCTCATTCACCCCTGGAGCCCTGCCGCCGCAGAGCTTTTTAACTACCTCTGCAACCTTAGCCACGGTTATGGACTGACCAGCCCCAAAGTCCCTTGACTCAGCTTTCTCCATGGAAGATGTGTCTGTGGGATGGAGAAGGTGTAAGAATTATTCCTTCCACCTCCCAACGACATCACTGGTTGAGGTCAACAACACCCCACCTTCACTGAACACAGTTAGTAAAGCGCTGCTTGCCCCTCCTCAGCTGCCTGATGGTTTGCCAGAATCTCCTCTGAGCCAATCGAGAGTCTATCAAAGGCTTCACCAAACTTCTCCCACACTTTTGCCTCAGCAACAGCCAAGGCTGCAGACCCCTTGGCCCTCTGGTACTTCAACTGTTTCTGGAGCCCCACCAGCCAACAAGGCCCGATAGGATTCCTTCAGCTTGACAGCCTCCGTAACCTGGGGTGTCTATCACCGTGTATGAGGTTGGCCACTGTAAAAAGCACAAACAATCTTGTGGCACATCTCAAGGCAGCCACCTCAACAGTTGAGGCACAGAACATAGCCCACTCTGACTCAATGTCCACCCCCCACCCCTCTCAGCTGGGATGTGGTTACTCTCAGGTGTGAGTTGGAAGATCTTTCTGACGGGTTCTTCTGCCATGCGTTCCCAGCAAACCCTCTCTACACGTTTGAGTCTACCAGATCACTCTGGCATCTGATCCAACTTACAACCAAGTGGTGACCAGTTCAACGCAGCTCCTCTCTTCACCCAAGTGTCCAAAACAAATGGCCACAAATCAGATGACACAACTACAAAGTCAATCATCGATCTACAACCTAGGGCATCCTGGTGCCAAGTGCACTTATGGACACCTTTATGTCCGAACACGTTGTTTGGACTGTGGCACAATTGGCTGGTGCTGGTGAACCCAGTGGTGCAGGCAAGCAGGCGAGGACTCAGAAATATGTAAAATAACGAATTTATTAACAGAATAAAAGAGCTGACATGGCAGCAAAACAAAACATAGAATGATCAGGGTGTACTCACAATACAGACGGATCATCACCAGTGGACAGAAAAACAATGCCAGGACAAGGACTAACACAGAGACACAGACTTATATACAGGAAACACCATTTAGACCAAGTTATGACACCTGTGGGTAATCACATATGCCAGAGAAGGAGAAAGGATGCAAGACATGAACACGACACAAGATAGGGCTAGATACTAGAGAAACCCAAACCCTGTAAAGAAAAACAGAGGATCCGGAGAAACACAGACAACATCAGGGACAAGACCATAACTCATAAAAACTGAAGGATTGGACATTAATTTAAATTTTCTGCTGTGAAACCAAGTTTTAAGATTGTGGTTCTGATTTCAGTTTATAATGTCAGAGTTCAGTTAGAATCATCTGATAGCAGTGAGCTAACAGCTAAAATGATGAAAGATCTTCACACCCAGACACCTATGGGTAATGTAGTCTTCAGCAGCAGTGGTTGAATCTTCTTTGATTAAACAGGAGTGGGCAGAGCATGTCAGTGCCTCCTCCCTCTCTGATAACATAATAAACTCCTGGTTCAGGAAGTGGGTGGAGCATGTTGTACAGAAGTTGTTGCACAGAATGGGTGAGAGGTTTTCCAGATGTGCTTCACTTCCTGTTTTCGTCCCTTCGGTGGACGCAGCAAATTATAGCGGGTGGGTTCTGAATTCAGACATCCCGATAAGATATGTGAATCTGCTGGATGCCCCCCCTTCCCCCCCCCCCCCCTGAGGTCCAAGGGCATGTTGTATGGATTTCCTGTGCTGTGTTCAGGGCCCAAACATGCCTTTGTGTCCCCCGTTGCATAGCGAAGAAAGGATTTGGAAACGCTGTCCATCTCTCTGTCCGCCTGTCATATGAGCTGGACAACTTAAAAAAAATCTACTTCCATGTTGGTGTGTGGCTGTATCAAGGCGTAAGGAAGGTCACTATCAACAGCTGAGTTGTCACGTCAAAATCCAAGATGACTGCAGTGCTGCCATATCTTCTCCAAATCAAAAAACATTCACTATTCACATCCCACAGAGACAGGGGACATTGGAGTATTGTTTGTTTAACCCTGTGATAAAATGATTTTATCTCTTTGCCACTGACATTAATACCAAACATCTTTAATATAATATATATTTTATTGTGAAAATCTGGAATGAAGTTTACTTATCTAAATTGAAGGGTCCTGTTTAAAAGTTTGGGAATGAGATGAAACCGGGTCACGTGTGTTCAGGTTTAACTTTGTTTAATCACAGTAACTTCTGATGGACAGTTCAGGACTCTGAAAACTCTGATCGTGACTCTGGTTTGATGTGTGACTGCAGCCCAAGCCCACCAAAGGTCGGATGCGGATCCACTGCCTGGAGAATGTGGACAAAGCTTTGCAATTCCTCAAAGAGCAGCGGGTTCACCTGGAGAACATGGGCTCCCACGACATTGTGGACGGGAATCATCGCCTGACTCTGGGTCTGATCTGGACCATCATCCTACGATTCCAGGTAACTCACCTGTGGATGAGTTGCTGTGTCAACTCTGTGTGTTTCTAAACATCCACCGGAGGAGGTGGATGAAAGAGACCTGCCCCCTCTTTACTCTGTAACAGCTCTGATTGGCACTGCCAGTAGCTCAGGTTAAAGTCTAAACCCCACTATGTTTTAACTGTTGTCATGGAAACCCTGAGCAGAGACATCACTGACATAATCAGCCAATCCGGAAAGATCTTTGCTGAAGCACAGTTAGAAACGGTTCATATTCTTTTAGAACAAACCAATGCCAAGAATGTGCTGTGACAGGTGGGGTGTGACAGATGGGGTTTGACAGGTGTGACAGGTGGGGTGTGACATGTTTGACAGGTGGGGGTGTGACAGATGGGGTTTGACAGATGTGACAGGTGTGGGTGTGACAGATGGGGGTACTACAGGTATGACAGGTGGGGTTTGACAAATGTGACAGGTGTGACCGGTAGGGGTGTGACTGATGGGGTTTTGGGGTTGTAACAGATGGGGTTCTACAGGTGTGACAGGTGGGGGTGTGACAGATGGGGTTTGACAGGTGTGACAGGTGGGGGTTTGACAGGTGGGGTGTGACAGGTGTGACAGGTGGGGGTGTGACAGATGGGATTTGACAGATGTGACAGGTGAGGGTGTGACAGGTGTGGGTGTGACAGATGGGGTATTACAGGTGTGACAGGTAGGGTTTGACAAATGTGACAGGTGTGACTGGTGGGAGTGTGACAGGTGTGACAGATGTGACAGGTGTAATATTGGCTTGTCGTACTCAGATTCAGGACATCAGTGTGGAGACTGAAGACAACAAGGAGAAGCGTTCGGCCAAAGACGCTCTGCTGCTCTGGTGTCAGATGAAGACTGCCGGGTGAGTCTTCGTTGCTGCAGATGAAAATGTTTACTGACAAAGATGACGACTCTAACTGTTGTCTCTTCTTCCTGTCACCTTTCTCAGGTACTCAAACGTCAATATCCATAACTTCACCAGCAGCTGGAGGGATGGGATGGCCTTCAATGCTCTCATTCACAAACACAGGTAACTTCTTCCTCCCCCCAGGTGTGCTGCTGTGGTTGTTGTTGTTTTCATTGTTGTTGTAGGATGAAAAATGTTGTGTGTTGTTTTCAGACCTGATTTGATTGACTTTGATAAACTGAAGAAGTCTAACGCTCACTACAACCTTCAGAATGCCTTTAACCTGGCAGAGCAGCACCTAGGCCTGACCAAGCTGCTCGATCCAGAAGGTACTGACCCGTTTACCAACGCACATCGATTCGTTTACCAGCACACACTGACCTGTTTACTAGCGCACACTGACCCGTTTACCAACACACACCAACCCATTTACCCATTTGTCCTTCATGCCTTTATTTTGATAGTTTCCTCTATAGTTTCATGTGTAAGGCAAGTGGAAACTCACCTGTGTGTTGTTTGCTGTGCAGACATCAGCGTGGACCAGCCCGATGAAAAATCCGTCATCACCTACGTGGTGACCTATTATCACTACTTCTCTAAAATGAAGGCTCTGAAGGTAGAGGGCAAACGGATCGGAAAGGTCAGTCCAGAAACCTCTTCCCAGAACTTTCATTAAGAACAGGAAAATCGAAGGACACTGAGTTTCAAAACAAAAGCTTCTGAATATCTGCTTACTTTTATCCAAAAGAGGTGTTAAATGTTTCTTCTTCAGTGTTTTTGTTGTTGTTCTTGATTGGAGGTGCATGAAGGTCTCCAGAGCTCTGGCTCAGCGGGTTACTGTCATTATTTAACATTGATCAGTTTAATAAAAATAAAAAATCAGTTTGTTATTTTTAAAGTTTGTCTGAGCCCATTTGAACTGGTACCATGTTCCGATGAGTTCTGAGCTGTTTTCTCCAGCTTGTTAAACTGAGTTCTTTGGGTTCGGATCAACTGTGTGTTACCGGGTCTCTGTGTTGCCGCCCAGGTCCTGGACAACGCCATCGAGACAAAGAAGATGATCGAGAAGTACGAGTCTCTGGCCTCAGACCTGCTGGAGTGGATCGAGCAGACCATCATCATCCTCAATAACAGGAAGTTCTCCAACTCTCTGGTGGGGGTCCAGCAGCAACTGCAGGCTTTCAACACCTACCGGACTGTGGAGAAACCTCCAAAGTCAGAGCCATCACTTGACCCTATCCTCTGTTCACATTTGTAACCAGGTAACTCACCTGTTCGGTCAGCTGATTTGATTTGTGCCCCGCCCCCTCAGGTTTACAGAGAAGGGGAACCTGGAGGTCCTGCTCTTCACCATCCAGAGTAAGATGAGAGCCAACAACCAGAAGGTCTACATGCCTCGTGAAGGAAAACTCATCTCTGACATCAACAAGGTCAGGAAAACTTCTCAGTGACTGTCCGACCAATCACAGGAGGGGTCAGAGGTCACGCTGTGGTTCTTTGGTCCACAGGCATGGGAGCGTCTGGAGAAGGCAGAGCATGAAAGGGAGCTGGCCCTGAGGACGGAGCTCATCCGTCAGGAGAAGCTGGAGCAGCTGGCCAGGCGCTTTGACAGGAAGGCAGCAATGAGGGAGACCTGGCTCAGTGAGAACCAGAGGCTGGTATCCCAGGTGGGTGGAGCCACACTCACATGTAGCGTGCTTGTCCTCTGCTTCCTTTAACCCATCTTCTGTCTGTCACCAGGACAACTTTGGCTTTGACCTCCAGGCTGTGGAGGCGGCCACCAAGAAACACGAGGCCATTGAGACAGACATTGCAGCATACAAGGAGCGGGTCCAGGCTGTGGTCGCCGTGGCAAAGGAGCTGGAGGCAGAGCATTACCATGACATCAAACGCATTGCAGCCAGGAAGGACAACGTGATCCGATTATGGGAGTACCTGCTGGAGCTGCTTAAGGCACGCAGACAGAGACTGGACATGAACCTGGGTCTGCAGAGGGTCTTCCAGGAGATGCTCTACATCATGGACTGGATGGACGAGATGAAGGTCCACCCACAAACTCACGATCTGCCCTAAAGTCCCAGGATCCCGCCCCCACAGCTCTTACCTGCTTCTCTGTCTGTTTCAGATGTTGCTGCTGTCTCAAGACTATGGAAAACATTTGCTGGGGGTGGAGGATCTGCTGCAGAAACATGCCCTGGTAGAGGCCGACATCTCCATTCAGGCAGACCGGGTTAAGACCGTGGTCACCAACGCCAACAAGCACTCGGTCTGCGACAGCGGTGAGCACCACACAGCTCTGTCTCACTTCCTGTGTCTCTGGTCCAAGTCTTGAGTTTTATCAACTGTGCCACCGTGCTGCCCATGTCCCATCTGTTAAAAATATTAACATTTGTTTTCTCTTGTGCTGAACCATAACTGAGGTGTACCGGTCCCCCTATCAGCTATTTGATAATATATAGAACCTGCCAGAAACAGGAAACTGGACTTGGTCTGATTCTGGTTTGATTAGAACCTTTGTGTTGAATCTGCACTCAAATTCTTGTTTTTGTTGTGATTCTTTCTGACACATCAGTCAGAGACTGGAGCGCAGTGTTTTCTGTTCCAGGCTACAAGCCCTGCGACCCGCAGGTCATCCAGGACCGGGTCGCCCACCTGGATTTCTGCTACCAGGAGCTGACCCAGCTGGCTGCCGAGCGTCGTGCCCGCCTGGAGGAGTCTCGCCAGCTCTGGAAATTCTTCTGGGAGATGGCAGAGGAGGAGGGCTGGATCAGAGAGAAGGAGCAGATTCTGTCCTCCCTGGAGCACGGTAAGGATCTGACGGGTGCAACGCGCCTCCTGAGCCAGCAACGCGCCCTGGAGGATGAGATGAGCGGGCGAGCTGGACACCTGCAGCACACGATAGCCGAGGGTCAGGCTATGATTCAGGCGGGTCACTTCGGTGCAGCTAAGATTCAGGAGCGCATCGCAGATCTGCAGGCTCAGTGGGTTGCACTCGAGCAGCTTGTCGCCATGAGGAAAAGGAGTCTGGAGGAGGTTCTGGCCCTGCATCAGTTCCAAGCCGACGCAGACGATGTTGACGCCTGGACACTGGACGCACTGCGCATCGTCTCCAGCGGTGAGACGGGCCACGACGAGTTTTCCACCCTGGCCCTGGTCAGGAAACACAAGGACACTGCTACAGAGGTGGCCAGCTATCGCTCAGTCATCGACTCGCTTCATGAACAGGTAGCGGCACTACCTACGGAGAAGGCAGAGTCTGAGGAGGTGCACGACCGGCTGGCTGGCATCGAGGAACGCTACAAGGAGGTGTCAGAGCTGACAAAGTTGAGGAAGCAGGCCCTGCAGGACGCGCTGGCGCTCTACAAAATGTTCAGCGAGGTCAACGCCTGTGAGGTTTGGATTGATGAGAAGGAGCAGTGGCTGAACAGCATGGAGATCCCTGAAAAACTGGAAGACCTTGAGGTCATACAGCACAGGTAAGACCGTTGGCCTTGACTGCAGATATGTCTCAGTCAATAGTGCTGGTCTGATCTGGACTCGGATCTCTCTGCAGGTTTGAAAGTCTGGAGCCAGAGATGAACAGCCAGGCATCTCGTGTTGCTGTGGTGAACCAGATTGCTCGACAGCTGGTCCACAGTGAACATCCGAGCCAGAAGGACATTAAGTCTCAGCAGGACAAACTCAACAACAGGTAGGTAAGAACTCAAGCAGAACCTGTCTATTGTAAGGAAAACCCTGAAACTGGACTTTGACTTTGACTGTTCTATCCCCCTGCAGGTGGAGTCAGTTCCGAGACCTAGTGGACCAAAAGAAGGAGTCCCTGAACTCAGCTCTGGGTGTGCAGAACTACCACCTTGACTGCAACGAGACCAAATCCTGGATCAAAGAAAAAACCAAAGTCATCGAATCCACCCAGGAACTGGGCAACGACCTGACCGGAGTCATGGCTCTGCAGCGCAAACTGACCGGTATGGAGCGGGACCTGGTAGCCATTGAGGACAAGCTGGGGGACCTGCGTGGCGAGGCCCAGCGGCTGTCAGAGGAGCACCCAGACCAGGCCCAGGCCATTACAGGACGCCTGGCTGAGATCAATGCCGTCTGGAAGGAGATGAAGAACACTCTGAAGACCCGAGAAGAGTCGCTGGGAGAGGCCCGGAAGCTTCAGCAGTTCCTGCGAGAGCTAGATGACTTCCAGTCCTGGCTTTCCCGTACACAGACTGCCATCGCCTCCGAGGACATGCCCAACACGCTGGCCGAGGCTGAGAAGCTGATGGCCCAGCACGAAGGCATCAAGAATGAAATCCAGAACTACGAGGAGGACTACCAGAAGATGCGAGACATGGGAGAAATGGTGACGCAGGGTCAGACAGATGCGCAGTACATGTTCCTGCGTCAGCGGCTGCAGGCGCTTGACACAGGCTGGAACGAGCTGCATAAGATGTGGGAGAACCGGCAGAACCTGCTGTCCCAGTCCCATGCTTACCAGTTGTTCCTGAGGGACACCAGGCAAGCTGAAGCCTTTCTCAACAACCAGGTAAGCTCAAAAGGCTCACCTGGAAACCCCTGGATACCGAACCCTGAAAAGACCTTAGTTCTCAGCTGATTCTTTGTTCTCCTCACTAGAAGATGAACCCTGGTGATCAGTTTGTGTGGATTTTCTCTGTAGGAGTACGTTCTGGCTCACACAGAGATGCTCACCACTCTGGAGGGTGCTGAGGCTGCCATCAAGAAGCAAGAGGACTTTATGACCACCATGGATGCCAATGAGGATAAGATCAACGCAGTGGTGGAGGCGGGTCGTCGGCTGGCGTCTGATGGGAACGTCAACGCCGATCGTATCCAGGAGAGGGTCTCCTCCATCGACGACAGGTACCTTTGGCAAGACTTACTGAAAGATAAAATCTTGTTCGGCACACGTTCAGGAGCTGGTCTTCATAAGGTCTTCCTCAGTGGATGGGACCTTATAGACAGAAGAGTTTCAGTGTTTATGAACACGTGGAGGTGTAACGAGCCATTTTAACACCTGAAACCAATGAAAAAACATCAACGAGCTGGTTTAAAACGGTTTTTAGTCTAAAGATTTCTTTTGGTTTGGAGACCTCTGCAGGGGTCAGAGAGGTGTATATCAGACTCAGAACTAGTCTCTGTGCTCATAGTTTCTTTATGCTCCAGGCACAAGAAGAACAGGGAGGCTGCTGTTGAGCTGCTGATGAGACTGAAGGACAATAGAGACCTGCAGAAGTTCCTGCAGGACTGTCAGGAGGTCAGTCAGGTCATTCCCTTCAGAGATACTCTGATGTGACAGGAATATTCCTGCTCCCAGAATATAGACCTCTGTTGTCTCATTTCAGCTGTCTCTGTGGGTCAGTGAGAAGATGTTGACAGCGCAGGACCTGACCTATGATGAGGCCAGGAACCTGCACAGCAAGTGGCTGAAACACCAGGCCTTCATGGCCGAACTGCAGTCCAATAAGGAGTGGCTGGACAAGATCCAGAAGGTACCAAGGGTTCTCACCAGGGCATGAAGTAGACTGTCAGACTTGTGTTTTTTATTATTTTCAGGACCTCTTTGGGTTTAAACCTAATGCTCTTTGTGGAATATTTAACTGAAGACCTCTGTGGACTGATTTATCTGGTGGATAAGGACCATTTAAATGTCTAAGTTTTCTGTCTAACATCAGGACGGGAAGCTGCTGGTGTCAGAGAAGCCGGAGACGGAGGAGGTGGTGAAGGAGAAGCTGTCATTGCTCCACAGCATGTGGGAGCAGCTGGAGTCCACCACTCAGACCAAAGCCCAATGTCTGTTTGATGCTAACAAGGCCGAGCTGTTCACGCAGAGCTGCGCTGACCTGGACAAGTGGCTGGGCGGCCTGGAGGGCCAGATCCAATCTGACGACTACGGCAAAGACCTGACGTCCGTCAACATACTGCTGAAGAAACAGCAGGTACTTATACACTAGATATTTTACTAAAGGTAGTAGAATTACTATGGTATTTGGTGAGGGCAGCAGGGATGGTTCTGTTGTTGGTATTCAGGAACCCAGAGAACCAATTCAGACAGTCTTATTGGTCTCCTAGGTGGGTCCTCACTGTTCTGACTCTTTCTTCCATCAGTTGTTGGAGAACCAGGTAGAGGTGCGTCAGAGGGAGGTGGTGGAACTGCAGAGCCATGTGAAGGCCCTTGGTCAAGAGGTGAAGGACACTGATGAGGTGGACGGGCGGAGGCAGGTGGTGGAGAAGAAGTTCCAAGAGTTGCTGGATCCACTGCGGCGCCGCAGAAACTTCTTGGTGGCGTCCAGAGAGGTTCACCAGTTCAACCGAGACATTGAGGATGAAATCGTACGTAGACCGACTCTCAACACTTACACACACCCCTCCCCACAACATAATTCCCTCACAACATCAACTTTGGTCTTTCTTGCAGCTCTGGGCCCAGGAGAGGATGCCTGTGGCCACATCTTCTGACTACGGCCACAACCTGCAAACGGTTCAACTGCTGATCAAGAAGAACCAGGTGAGTTATTCTTCAGGTAACCTTAGGGTTTTTGCGGGGTTCTGTTGGCCTTCTAATGTCCTTTTCCTTGTCCTTGACCTTAGACGGTGCAGAAGGAAATTCAGGGTCATCAGCCTCGTATCACCGACATTCTAGAGCGCAGTCAGAGTCTTCTGCAGGACGAGTCCTCCAACAGCGATGGGATCCATCAGCGTCTGTCAGACCTGCAGCAGCTGTGGAAACAGTTGATGGAGGAAGTTGAGCGGCGCAATGAACGGCTACAGGAGGCCCACAAAGCCCAGCAGTACTACTTTGATGCTGCCGAGGCTGAGGCCTGGATGAGCGAACAGGAGCTCTTCATGATGTCAGAGGAGAAAGCCAAGGTCTGGGATGAGGGACAGCAGCATCCTGTACTGCTCCTAGTTCTGTCAGAGTCTCATGAAACCTTTTTCCTGATTAGGATGAGCAGAGTGCCGTCAACATGCTGAAGAAGCATCAGATCATGGAGCAGGCGGTCGAGGACTATGCCGAGACTGTCCACCAGCTGTCTAAAACCAGCCGAGGACTTGTGGCCGATGGACACCCAGAGAGGTGCGTACACTCATCACCTGTAACATGCCAAGTCCATTTCTCCCAGGAACAGAACTTTATGGCTGTTTGTGTGTCAGTGAACGGATCAGTATGCGGCAATCCAAGGTGGATAAGCTGTACGCCGGCCTGAAGGACCTATCCGAGGAGAGGCGGGGTAAACTGGATGAGAGGCTCCGCCTCTTCCAGCTCAATCGGGAGGTGGACGACCTGGAGCAATGGATTGCTGAGCGAGAGGTGGTTGCTGGGTCTCACGAGCTGGGTCAGGACTACGAACATGTCACTGTAAGTTACTGTGAGGACTGCTGACATGTCCCTGATGGTGCTGAGATTGTGGGGTGTGAAGGTTGAACCACTATAACTTTGTCAGACGGTACACAAATCAGATGATACATCAGATGATACATTTGTCAAATGGTACCGGTACACCTCTATCAGATGATATATTTGTCAGATGGTACCGGTACATTTCTGTCAAATGATATCTTTGTCAGACGGCACTGGTACACCTCTGTCAGATGATATTTTTGTCAAATGGTACCGGCACACCTCTGTCAGATGGTACTGGTATACCTCTGTCAGATGGTACCAGTAGACCTTTGTCAGATGATACCTTTGTCAGACGGTACCGGTATACCTTTGCCAGACGGTACCGATACACCTCTGTCAGATGATATCTTTGTCAGATGGTACCGGTACACCTCTGTCAGATGGTACCGGTATACCTCTGTCATATGGTACCAATAGACCTCTGTCAGATGATACCTTTGTCAGATGGTACCGGTATACCTTTGTCATACGGTACCGATACGCCTCTGTCAGATGATACATTTGTCAGATGGTACCGGTACATCTCTGTCAGATGGTACCAGTAGACCTCTGTCAGATGATACCTTTGTCAGATGGTACCGGTATACCTTTGTCAGACGGTACCGATACACTTCTGTCAGATGATACCTTTGTCAGATGGTACCGGTACACACCTGTTAGATGATACCTTTGCCAGGTACCAGTACACCTATCAGATTAAACATTTGTCAGACGGTACCGGTACACCTCTGTCATATGATACCTTTGTCAGACGGTACCAGTACACCTCTGTCAGATGATACCTTTGTCAGGTACCGGTATACTTCTGTCATATGGTACCGGTGCACCTTTATCAGATGATGCCTTTACAGTACTCGTATACCTCTGTCAGAACCAGCCAAAGCAGGCAGTCGTACTCATTAGCTTTAATTCCAGATGCTGCAGGAGAGATTCCGGGAGTTTGCGCGGGACACTGGGAACATTGGGCAGGAGCGTGTAGACACCGTCAATCGGCTGGCAGATGAACTTATCAACGCCGGGCACGGTGATGCAGCCACAGTGGCCGAGTGGAAAGACGGTCTGAACGAGGCCTGGGCCGACTTGCTGGAACTCATCGACACCAGAACTCAGATCCTCGCTGCCTCCTTCGAGCTCCATAAGTTCTACCACGATGCCAAAGAGATCCTGGCACGCATCGCGGACAAGCAGAAGAAGCTGCCAGATGAGATGGGCCGGGACCAGAACACGGTGGAGACATTGCAAAGGATGCACACCACCTTTGAACATGACATCCAGGCACTCGGAACACAGGTGAGACCTCTGAAGAACATCTCACAAGCATGGGTCACAGCCAGGAGCAAGAGGGGAGAACTCAAATCCAAACATACACCAGAACATAGGCCTTTGGTGATCTGTGACATGTTTTCTTGTGCACTGTGAGTTGCAGGTGAGGCAGCTTCAGGAGGATGCCGTTCGCCTGCAGTCAGCGTACGCCGGAGATAAGGCAGATGACATCCAGCGCCGGGAAAGCGAAGTGTTGGAGGCCTGGAGGAGCCTGCTGGAGGCCTGCGATGGGCGCAGGGTCCGCCTCCTGGACACCGGGGACAAGTTCCGCTTCTTCAGCATGGTCCGGGACCTCATGCTCTGGATGGAGGACGTGATCCGGCTCATCGAGGCCCAGGAAAAACCCCGGTAGGCCTGCTTGGTGCAGTTGGCTGCACGTCAGTGAAGAGCAGGAGTGGTGCTGACGGAGCTCTTTGTGCTTTCAGAGATGTTTCTTCTGTGGAGCTGCTGATGAACAACCATCAGGGCATCAAGGCGGAGATCGATGCCCGTAACGACAGCTTCACCACCTGCATTGAGTTGGGCAAAGCTCTGCTGGCCAGGAAACACTTTGCTTCTCCAGAGGTGGGTCCACACTCTGCTCAGGTGATGACAGATACAGTCTGAACCCAGGGGAACTGGTTCCGCTGATTCATTATTTACAGAGGAAAAACTGAAAACTGGTTCCAGTCCTGATCCAGAATCTCTTTCAACAGCAGAACTCTTTGTAGGTTTTCATCAGTCTCATGTTTCTGGAGGAGTTCTGGTCCACTCTTCTTTTCATCATTGACGGTTCTGCTCAGCTCTCTGAAAGTTTCAGGTTCAGGTTTTGGACTCGACTGGACCGTTGCAGTACCTTGGTTCTGACCAGTTCTGTTGTAGATCAGACAGCAGCTGACCTCTGAGGTCATTGCTGATGTCTTTCTGCCTTAGCGTTGTGTTAACACACACGTGGAAGGTCCAGAACAGCAGAACCTCCTGAAGAGGATCAATTCAATAGTTGATCCTGATCCTGGACTTCTGAGATCCTGTTTGGAACCAGGTTTTACTTCTGTTGAATAAATAAGGAGTCGGTGGAACCATCTGGATCCTTTACAACCTGGTGAAGTTCAGATCAGTTAGATCAGGTCCTGAAACCTAGAACGGAAAGAGGTGGACTTTGTTGTTCCAGGACTGTATGTCTCAGGTGGGGGTCCAGATGTTTGCAGGGAAACTTCTAATAACTGAATAAATGAAAAACTGAGAACATTTTCATTTTTTGACAAATATTTTAACTGAGAATGTCTCATCATCTGATGGATCATCTGGTCACATGAACCATCATCTGATGGATCTTGTGATCAGATGATGGATCATGTGATCAGATGATGGCTCATGTGATCAGGTTCTTCTGTGGTTCTGAGAGCTGCAGGTCTCACAGATGTCGTCTCGTTCAGATTAAAGACAAGCTGCTGCAGCTGACGGACAAAAGGAAGGAGATGATCGATAAGTGGGAGGACCGATGGGAGTGGCTCCGCCTCAGTAAGTCTCACTTCCTGTTTTGTTAAACTGATCCGAGAGCAGCAGCCGGGTCGGGCTACCTTCTGCTTTTAACAACCAATCAGAAAGCTCTGAGGGTCAAAGGTCACCTCAGGTTGTGATGATGGCATGACCTTCATCCCTCTCCTCCTCCTCAGTCCTGGAGGTGCACCAGTTCTCGAGGGATGCCGGCGTGGCCGAGGCCTGGCTCCTGGGCCAGGAGCCGTACCTGTCCAGCAGGGAGATGGGGCAAAGTGTGGACGAGGTGGAGAAGCTCATCAAACGCCACGAAGCTTTTGAGAAGTCTGCCGCCACCTGGGAAGAACGCTTCTCTGCCCTGGAGAGGCTGACCACGGTGAGAAGGGAGCGATGAGGATGAGGATAAGGATGATGTGGATAAGAATGAAGATGGTGTTTAGGATAATTAGGATGAGGATGATGATGATGATGATGATGAAGGATGATGATGATGATGATAAGGATGAAGATTTGATGAGAATGATGATGAAGATGAGGATAATGATGATGAATGTAAGGATGATCATAGTGATTATGATGATGAAGATAAGGATGAGGATGAAGATGGTTAGGATGTGGATGATGGGTTTGATTTTGATGATGATGAGATAAGTATCATGAGGATGAGGATGTGGTCTGTGTGGTCCTCCAGCTGGAGCTTCTGGAGGTCCGGAGGCAACAGGAGGAGGAGGAGAAGAGGAGGAAACCACCGTCTCCTGAACCAGCTGAGGTCCAGCAGCAGCAGAGGTGAAAGGTCACACAAACATACAAACAGGAAGTTCACCTTTAGGTCAGAGGGGCGGAGTCAAACCTGAGCAGGTGTCAGTTGTGAACACAACATTTATTAACAAAGACTCTGTTTTTCTGCAGCGCCTGCACTCAAAACGGACTCGCACTGGATCAGAACTCTCCTCAGGTCAGTCCTCTGTCAGCAACCAGCCTTTATTCTGAAACACACACTGAATTTTATTTTGAAACTCACTATTTCACGTCCTTGTTCTCCTTTATTCTGATTTATTCTATATCATTTCTCTTCAGTCTTTTTGTCATCTGAAGAGCGTAGTCCTGGTTCTGGTCTCGTGTCTGTCTCATTTGCCTCATTTGTAAAATACTTTAAATTCAGTTCACTTTAGTTTATTTTTGTAGCTCTAAGTCACAACAGAAATTGTCTCAGGGTACTGTACAAAAACATTCACATACATTATAATAGTCAATTAGAAAAAGTTCTCTGTCTAAGGAAGCAGCAGGTTGTGTTGAATCTTCACTTCGTCACGGTCTCCCATCCTGAACAAGCACAAAGGAGACAGTGGAAAGGAAAAACTCCCTTTTAACAGGAAGAAACCTCCAGCAGAACCAGGCTCAGGACAAACAACCATCTGCTTTGACCAGCTGGGGTTTGAGAGAACAGGAAGTAGAAACAAACACAGAATGACAGATCCAGGTGAACTTTCTATAGGAGGAAAGACAAAAACATGTTAAGATAGAAATAATTACAAATACAAACAAGTAGAGTAGAGCATGTAAAGATGCGAGAGAGAGGAAATGTGGTCAGTTTGTCCTCCAGCAGTCTAAGCCTATAGTAGCATTACTAAGGGATAGCTCAGGAAACACAAGCCGACCCTAACTATAGGATTTATCAAAAAGAAAAATTGTAAGCCCAGTCTTAAAACTGGACAATGTGTCAGCCTTACGGACAGAAACTGGAAGTTGGTTCCACAAGAGAGGAGCCTGATAACTGAAAGCTCTACCCCCCATTCTGCATTTGGAAACACTAGAAACCACAAGTAAACCTGCAGTCTGAGAGCAAAATGCTCTGTTAGGAAAATATGGAGCAATAAGATGTATAATATAAGATGGAGCTGGGTTGTTGAGAGCTTTGTAGGTTAGAAATAAAATTTTGAGTTCAGTTCTGGATTTGATAGGGAGCCAATGGAGAGAAGCTAAAACTGGAGAAAAATTATCTCTCCTATTAACTCTCTTTAAAACTCTGGCAGCAGCATTTTGGATTAACTGAAGACTTTTTAAAGAAGTAGTTGGACACCCAGACAATAAGCCATAGTCCAACCTAGACTTGATAAATGCATAGACCAGTTTTTCTGCATCATTTTTGGACAAGATGTTTCTAACTTTAGTGATATTACGCAGGTGGAGGAAAGAGGTTCTAGTAACATTTTTAATGTGGAGGTTAAAAGACATGTCCTGATGAAAAATAACACCAAGGTTTATGACTTTAGAGCTAGAGGCTAAATTAATGCCACCCAGAGTTGGTGAAAGACTGAAAAAATATTCCTAAGATGCTCAGATCCAAAAACTAAAACCTCGGTCTTGTCTGAGTTTAAAAGCAGAAAAATAAGGGTCATCAAGGTTGTTATTCTTTTAGACATGCTTGTAGTCTAAGTAACTGATTAGATTAATTGGGTTTCATGGACAAATATAATGGTGTATCATCAGCATAACAATGAAAATGTATCCCATGCTGTTTAATAACATTACCATAATGGAAGCATATACAAGGTAAAGAGTATTGGTCCAAGCACTGAACCTTGAGGAACTCCATGACTAACTTTGGTGTATGATGAAGATGCATTACATTTACAAATTGGAATCTATCAAATAGATATGATTTAAACCAATTTAGAGCCGTTCCTGTAATTCCAATATCATATTAAAGTCTCTAATAGAATATTGTGATCAACTGTATCAAATGCAGCACTGAGGTCTAACAGGAATAAAGAAATAAAATAAAATGTCTCCTTGCCCTTTGACCTGCAGGACGCACTGGAAGGTGACGATCTGGTGAACGGCTTCGCTGAGCCCAGCTCCAAGGAGCCAAGCCCCACCCCCTCACCAACATCTGGCAGGAAGACTAAGAGCCAGTCGTCTACACTGCCCGCCAAGAACCAGGACCTGACCTCGCTTCTTGAAGGCTTCCTGCATCGTAAACATGAGTGGGGAGGTCACAACAAAAAGGCCTCCAACAGGTGAGGTTCAACTGGCTGCCTGGCTCCGCCCCCTTCCAGCACACCATCTGATTTCTCTGCTCTGTGATTGGCAGGTCATGGCACAACGTGTACTGCGTCATCAGGAACCAGGAAGTGAGCTTCTACAAGGACAACAAGGCAGCTGGACAGGGCGTGGCTTATCATGGCGAGCCACCCGTCAGCCTGAAGGATGCCACCTGTGATGTGGCGTCCAACTACAAGAAGAAGAAACACGTCTTCAAACTCAGGTGAGACTAGGGCCAGTGGGCAGAACCACAGGCTGTAAAAGGTTAAAGCCAGGCCGGTGGGCGGGGCCACAGGCTCTAATATGTTCTTCTGGTCTTTCAGAGTCCCGGATGGAAACGAGTATCTGTTCCAAGCCAAAGATGAAGTGAGTATCTTTCTTTTCTGGAGTCTGGATCAGAACCGATTGTGTTTCAGAATCAGAACCTGTTTGGTCCTTTATGATTGTCCAGTTAGAGCCTTCTGTAGGTTTTGTTGAGTTCTGTGAATTTGGAGCAAAAGTTCTGTTTGCTGATCTGGATCTTAAACTGAGCCTTCAGGTCTAGTTAAGGTCCAGATTCAAACATCCTCATTAATGAAAACAAAGGTGTTCTAGTCTGTAGAACCAGCACCGGTCCAGCTCTGAGGAATCAGAATCTGTGTTCTGACCAGTGTCATCCCCCACAGGAGGAGATGAGCTCCTGGATCCAGACCGTCCTCACCGCCGCCACAGACCACTCCCACACGGAGGGCAGCGACCCCGGCACGCCGGCCTCCGGGCGCGCTCAGACGCTGCCCGCTACCGTCACGCTCGGCGCCGAGTCCAGTCCCGGCAAGAGAGACAAAGAGAAACGCTTCAGCCTGTTCAGCAAGAAGAAACAGTAGAACCACGAGGAACCAACCAGAACCCTGACCCAGAACACCTCAGTGGAACCACCTGACACTCTGACCCAGAACACCTCACAGTTCTGTCTGCATCAGAGCTTCTTCTTCAAGGTCCAAACAGCACATCCTGATCCTGGTTCTGCTTATGAAACCTTAAGAGTTCTGGTTCTGCTGCAGACAAGCTATCCACTTTCATTTGATGCTCTTTGGGTCCAGAACCCATTAAAGGTCCATGCAGCAGTGAGCTCAGTGTTCTGACCCGTTTGGACCAAATGAATCTGAACAACAGAGCCTGATGTCAGCTGGGAAACAATAAAAAGTAAAACTACAGAAAATACCTGACTGAATCGGGTCTGGTTCCATCAGAACTTCAGATACACAACCATTTCTGCTGATGACATCATCACTGATGAGTGATGACATCATGAGTGATGTCACGACCAGAAGCCAGAGGTTGACCGCTGACAGGATTAGGTTTCACTGATGTGTTTCTTGGACCCGGTTCTTCGTTCTGAAGGATTTTGGTTCTGTTTTGTTGATGTTTGTGGTGGGCGGGGACTCGCTGGGCTCATCGGAGCATCTACTGGCTCTGATTGGTGGCTCTGGTGCCGCGCTGACCTCATGAGGGACCAGTTGCTCAGTTTTTGGGTTTTTGTTTTTCCTCAGTTCTGTGAGGGTTCTGGAGACAAACTGGACCAACTGTGCTTTGAACTTTCTATTGGTTCTGCTCTGTGTACAAATGTTCACCTGCATGCTTCATGTAGAGCTCACACCTAAAACCTCTTTGGTTCTGCTGGGTCCGGCTCGCTCTGCAGCTCAGACACTTTCTGCTCGAGGTTCTGACCCGTGTTTTAGCCAACATGTATGACCGTTTGGGCTCAATCAGAACTGGCTGCATATTTAAATTCATGTATCAAACTGCACCTGAACTCATTAAAGCTTTGAAACTATACACTCAACTTCCTGTTCTGGTCTTCTTACTTCCTGTTCTGGTCTCTTTGTTTCCTGGTTTGTCACGTTCCTTCCTGTTTTGTTTCATCGTTTCCTGTTTTGTTTCATTGTTTCCTGTTTTTTTCGCTTTACCTCCTGTTTTGTCATTATACTTTGTTTTGTCTCTTCCGGTTTGGTCACATTGTTTCCTGTTTTGTTTCCTTTGCATCGTGTTTTGTCACATTACTTCCTGTTTTGTCTCTTTGTTTCCTTTTTTGTCTTTTCGTGTTTTGTCTCTCTTTACTATTTTGTGTCTTTACTTCCTATTTTGTCTCTACTTCCTGTTTTGTGTATTCCTGTTTTGTCACTACTTTATGTTTATTTGCTTCCTGTTGTTTCTTTACGTCCTGTTTTGTCTCTTCCTTTTTTGCCTGTGTTTCGTGTTTTGTTTCTTTACTTCCTGCTTTGTATTTTTACTTCTTGTATTTTTTTTTTCATTTTACTTTCTGTTTTGTCTCTACTTCATGTTTTGTGCCTTTCCTGTTTTTATTTTGCTTTGTTTTGTCTACTTCTACTTGTTTTTTTTGTTTTTTTACTCTTTATTAAGTTTCCATCAGCAATATAAACATTTGTCTGCCAGGGGTATATTAACGTGTACAAAGGAAATAGTGTTCACATGTAGAAAAGAACATGACATTTACAGATTATAAAGTCACATCAAGTTTTTCTAGAACAGAAAGGGTTTTCATTGCTTTTTTTGTTTTCAAGTCCCTTAATTGTGGTGCTGTATCTATAGGTAATGTTCTTTGCAGAAGTGGGTTATGTTTGGCTTGGAGTTTGACAACCTTTTCTTGTGATTGTGAAATTTTCTTGTTTTGTTTCTTTACTTCATGTTTTGTCTCCTGTTATTTTTTTTTACCTTTTTGTATTTTTACTTCTTATTTTGTCATTTACTTTGTTTTATCTGACTGAATTTTATGCTAAAATGTTTTTTTATATACAAACACACACATATACTGTGAATCAAATGAATTGGGACTTTTGTAGGTTTATATGATGTAATTATAGCAGTAATTTAATCAACTTAAACAGGATTTAAAAAAAAAAAAATATATATATATATATTAAAATAGCCTTCCTGTTTTCTTCTTTCAAATTGGTTTCTTGTTTGTGTTCATCTCAGTTTTAGTGACTTTAAATCATTTTGTTCTTGTTAAAACAATACAAAGTTCAGCTCAGTCAAGTTTCCCAGGAGCACCGGGACAAATCAAAGTCGGTTACATTTTCTTCTCGTTTCTTTTCAGTTATTGAAACTTTTTATATAAACGATTTATTCGTTTTATTTTATTTAATTGACAATCGATGTTTTCATGAAACTCGTTCTTAAACCTGACTGGAAACAAAATCAAAGAAAAGAAAATTCAGGAAAATTTAAAAATTAACACAAACTAAAAATAACAAGCGCGATACATAAACATTTATTTAAAAACCCATCCTTCCATCCATCCAACCACCCATCAGTCCATCTATCCATCATTCATCCAACCATCCATTCATCTTTCTGCATCCATCCAACCATCCATCCAACCAACAATCAATCCAACTAACCAAACATCCAACCATCCATCCAAACAACCATCAGTCCATCTATCCAACCATCCATTCATTCATTTATGCATCCATCCATCCAACTATCCATCCAACCATTCATTCATCCATCCATCTAATCCATCCAGCCATCCATCTAACCATCCATCCATCTAACCATCTATCCACCCATCCAACATCTAAAAAAAGAAAACTAAAAACAAGAACATGTCTGCATTGGGGCAGCACGGTGGTGCAACTGGTAGAGATGCTTCCTCTCAGCGAGAAGGTCCTTGGTTCAAACCCCGGTCCAGGGGCCTTTCTGGGTGGAGTTTGCATGTTCTCTCCGTGCATGCGTGGGTTTTCTCCGGGTGCTCCGGTTTCCTCCCACAGACCAAAAACATGCATGTTAGGCTGATTGGTAACTCTAAATTGTCCCTAGGTGTGAGTGAGAGAGTGAATGGTTGTTTGTCTCGTTTGTCTCTATGTGTCCTTGTGATGGACTTGCGACCTGTCCAGGGTGTACCCCGCCCCTCGCACAGTGGCTGCTGGACATGGGCACCAGCGACCCCGTGACCCAAAATGGAATAAGCGGGTAAAGATAATGGATGGATGTCTGCATTGGTTCTTGCCAGGAGTCCAACAGATTCTTAAAGCCACTTATAGAGGTCAAGGTTGAGAGCTTCAGATCTTTTTGCAAGATATTCCAGGAAACAGGAGTGGAGTAGGAGAAGGCCCTTTTGCCTAGTTCAGTCCACACTGAGGGGACACTGCAGGTAATAATGTCTTGAGAATGCACGCTGTAGCTGCACTCATGCTTGATAGACAGCATCTGCAGGGTGCTTGTAGCTTGTGCTTGTTTTACTTTTCATGCATTTGATTTTGTTTTTCGTATTTTGTTGTTGTGCTCTTAGAGTTCATATAACATTCAGCTCTCCGAAACAGTTCTAAAGGTGCGAGACCAGAAACACTACAGCTCCCAGCATGCAACACGCAGAGCTGATCAACTACTTAAGCAAGCTAGAAGGTGAGCGCGAGAGTGACAGGACGTGTGAGCTGCGTTTTTCAGAATAAAGTTTTTCTGATGCGATATCCTGATGTCCGATCACCACTACGTGTTCGTGTAGATTCTTGTTTTGTCCGTATAGCTTCTAAGTTACGTATAGAACCAAACTATTTTCAGTTGCTAAAAATGTACAGTCTTGGTGTGTTAGTAACTGAGATTTGTTCTCAAAATAATCCGTGGCAGGAACTGCTGCAATACGGTGGGTCGTGGGGGTGATATGCATTTCTTCAAGTTTATTTTTTTGATAAATAAAGTGAAATCAGAAGAAGTTTAACTAATTCGTCTAAATTAGCTTTCTCGTTTTAATGCACCTGTTAAAGGGGACGCTGCAGCGCCTTTATTTTGAAAGTCCCAGCAGGAAGTGGTTCTGTGTGAGTTCTTATTTGACGCTATCGATAATTCCTGAGGTCTCCGGTAATATTCCCTGTAAATTCCCGTTTTTTGCGGTTTGTTGGACCTCCGGGGCTCCGTCGTGGGTGTCGGTCTGTTCTTCAGCCGCCGCCACCGGACCTCTCGGTGTCGGTTTGGGCCGCAGGACCGGCCCGGTTCTGTAATCCCCGGATCAGGCTGGAACAGACGACGGCGGAGGGATTTTCTTTGATTTCAGCCGTTTGGACCGAACCTTCGGGTCCGGGGCTGCGGTTCGTTGGCAGCGTTTACCGACCTATCTGGACTGACCTTCTGATCCTAACCGACCCGGTCCGGAGCTCCCGGTTCTGATTTACAGTTTAAATTAATTAATTAGTTGTGTTTTGAAATACAGTATAAAATCTGTAAATTTTATAAATTGCAAAGAAAGAGTAAATGTTTTGAAATATCACGTGGACTAGCTTGGACATTTGAATAATATCTAAAATCTGAGTCCAGATCTGAAATCAGGACAGAACCAATTTTTACTTCCTGGACTAAAAATATAACGGTTTTATTTTGAAACTCTGAGTAAAAGGACCACGTGGGGTTCTGACCCCAACCCATTTGGGCCCTGAACTCATCTGGACCTGAAACAGCTCTGGTGCTGCATTGTGGAATTATGGGAGATGTAGTTGGAGACTGCTTTCTCCAAAGGACTACAATGATGGACTGCAGCTCCCATCATCCTTAGCAGCAGCTTCAGACTCGATAAACGGCGGTTCTGACGCCTCTGTGGATTTAGGGTTTGGAGTTTGTGGCTTAGAGCCGACATGTCGGATAAAACGGCACCGCGCTGCCAGTTGAGGCTGGAGTGGATCCACGGGTACCGGGGCCACCAGTGCCGGAACAATCTGTACTACACCACCAGTAAGGAGGTGGTGTACTATGTGGCAGGGGTGGGCGTGGTCTACAACACCAGAGAACACACCCAGAAGTTCTTTTTGGGGCACAACGATGACATCATCAGGTGAGGGGGCGTGGTTTAAATTATTGAAAGGTCAAATCTGCTTTCACTCCAACAGACTTGAATACTAAAACTAAAACCACCCCTGTAGACTAACTGATGACGCCAAGTTGCATTCTGGGATGGAACATGACAGGACATCATTTGTACGACCATCCCGCTACAATAGCTTCACTTCAACTTCATCGCAATGACAACATTAAAAACCTAATCGCTTTAACCTCATCACGTTAATCTCATCATTTTAACCTCATCACTTTAACCCCATCGCTAACCTCATCAATTTAACCCCATCGCTAACCTCAATACTTTAACCCCATCGCTAACCTCATCACTTTAACCTAATCTCTTTGACCTCACCATTTTGACCTCACCATTTTGACCTCATCACTTTAACCTCATCAATTTAACCCCATCACTAATCTCATCACTTTAACCCCATCGCTAACCTCATCACTTTAACCCCATCGCTAACCTCATCACTTTAACCTCATCAATTTGACCTCATCACTTTAACCCCATCCCTAACCTCATCACATTAACCCCATCGCTAACCTCATCAATTTAACCCCATCGCTAACCTCAATACTTTAACCCCATCGCTAACCTCATCACTTTACTCTCATCTCTCTGACTTCGCCATTTTAACGTAATAATTTTGGCATCACCACTAACCTCATCACTTTAACCTAATTGTTTTAACCTCATCATTTTGAGGTTATCACTAACCTCATCACTTTGACTTCACCATTTTAACCTCATCACTTTGACATCATTGCTTTAACCTCATTGCTTTGATCTCATCACTAACCTCATCAGATCAACCTCATCTAATCTCCTTGACCACATCACTTTGACTTCATCGCTTTAACCTTGTCACTTTAACCTCATCACTAATCTCATCAAATTAACCTAATTGTTTTAACCTCATCATTTTGGTCTCATCACTAACCTCATTACTAACATAATCTCTTTGACCTCATCTTTTTGACCTCATCACTAATCACTAACATCATAACATTAACCTCATCTGTTTAACTTGGTCCCTCGTTCGGTGGATCATCACTTTGACCTCTTTACTCTGACTTCATCATTTTGACCTCATCACTTTACCCTCATCGCTTTGATCTCATTACTTTACCCTCATATGTTTGACTTTGTCCCTTGTTCAGAGGATCATCACTCAGACCTCATACTTAAAAAAAAAAAAACACTTCTCAGAGATGAGTGCTGCCTCAGACCTGTCCTGTCCTGGTATTGGTTGAAGCCTTTAAATGTTTTTGGTGAATCAGACTCATGTTGGTGGCAGCAGCTGCTCTGCAAGAACGTGTGTGTGTGTGGGTGGTGTTGCCACAGTGAACACACTCTTGTTTGGGGTCCTGGGAATCCTGCAGAGCTTGAAGCTCAGTGCTGCCTTTGGTGGAGAAAAGATGAATTACTCGTCATTTCAGTTGCTGTTGGAACATTCATTCAGTTTGCAACCACATTAATTTGTTACCTCTAAAATCAAATCAATCAAAAATAACAATGAGAGTTGTAAAAGAAATGTAAACTTAGGATAAAAGCAAGGTTTAAAATTAGTTGTAATCAGGACTCAGTGTTGTGTCTTGATGTAACCTTCATTCTTTGGTCTGTTCCCTTCAGGAGTTTGAATCTCCCAGCATCCTCCTCTGTCACAACAATCCTCTGCAGATCCACCATCAACCTCCTCCCTGACAGCTCCAGATTTACCATCCTTTGTCCAATATGTCCAGTGTTCCTCCTCTGCATATGTCCAAAACCATGTCCACATCCTTTCTAACTTTTGTCCAAAGCAAACATCCCAGCAGGTATCACTCCCATCAGCTGTAACTGTTCAGGTCTGTCTGACAGCAGCTGCCTGAGGGTTTCACATCTGAATGAGTGTCATCATGCCTCAGTCTTCAAACAACTCTCTTGTCTGTCTGTCTGTCTACCTTCCTGCCTGTCTGTCTGTCTCTCAGTCTGGCCATGCATCCAGATAAGATCCAGGTGGCGACGGGTCAGGTGGGAAAGGACCCATACATCTGTATCTGGGACACCTATGCCATGCAGACCGTGTCCATTCTGAGGGACGTCCACACCCACGGAGTCGCTTGTCTCGCCTTTGACTCAGATGGACAGGTAAAAGCCCACCCCCTTTGTGATGTCACAGGAAGAAGCGAATAAATTTACCGTCAACAGAAGATTCCTGTCATTTCATATCTCTCTGACCTACTTCAACCTTATGTTCCTTCTCGGGCGCTGAGATCATCTGACCAGCTGCTTTTGATTGTACCAAAAACCAAGCTGAAGCTCAGAAGAGATCAGGCTTTAGTCATTGGCCTTAAACTTTGGAACAATCTGCCCATTAACATTAGACAGGCCACTTCACTCCCTGCTTTTAATTCTCCTTAACACCTGTATTCAATGGCGTGCGACACAGTGTGATTTGATTTACTTTTTCATTGTTTTGCATTGTTTTTGTGTTTTTTATTTTTAATGCTTTTAATTACATCTTATTATTTTTATTTACTGCCTTGATCTTATTGTTAAGCACTTTGGTAACAGTTGCTGTTTTAAGTGTGCTTTAAAAATAAATTTGACTTGACTTGGAGAAGGCTTTCGACCGTGTTCCTCGAGGTACACTGTGGGGGGGTGCTCAGAGTATGGGATTGGGGACCCGTTGTTGTACGGGCTGTTCGGTCACTATATAAGTGGTGCGAGAATTTGGTTCCCATTGCCGGCAGTAAATCAGACCCCTTCAGAGTGGGAGTTGGACTCTGCCTGGGCTGTCTGTTGTCACAGATTCTGTTCATAACCTTCAAGGACATAAGTTCTCGGTGCAGCCAGGGAACTGTTTTTTAGCAGCAATTTCATTTTACCTGAAGGGTACCGGACCATGACTGAAATAGAAACCTGTTAAACGCTGGTGGTTGTCCTGAGGAATTCCAAAACACCTGGTTCTGATCTGTCAGCTACTTAAAAAGTGACATCAGCCTGTGGTAAGGGGGGAGCTGCACTGTGGGCCTTACAGATGTCTTTGACTGTGTTTGTTGTCCCAGAGATTGGCCTCTGTTGGTCTAGATGCCAAGAACACAGTGTGCATTTGGGACTGGAGGAGAGGACGGGTCGTTGCCACGGCAACCGGACACTCAGACAGGGTACGAGTCCTTGTTTGGAGACATTTTCTGCTCTGTAGGATCATCATTAATGCTGATGCTGTTTGGGTTCTCTCAGATCTTTGATATCTGCTGGGACCCGATCAAGTCCAGCCGGCTGGTCAGCTGTGGAGTCAAACACATAAAGGTGAGACCACGTCCCTAAGTCACATGAAGGATGAGGTCACTGGTTGTTGTTACCTGATTTCTGGTGGAAATATTTGACACATTTGTTAGACCTAAACATCAGTAAAACAACAAGATTTTATCTTATTATCCAACTGCAGAAATTATTCTGGGACTGGGTTCTGTCTGAATGTTGACTTTGATCCACTGGTGTTTGGTTCTGTGTACAGTTTTGGAATCTGTGTGGGAATGCTCTGACCCCCAAACGAGGACTCTTTGGAAAAACGGGTGACCTGCAGACCATCCTGTGTGTCGCGGCAGCCAAAGATGAGCTGACGTACTCTGGAGCTCTGAACGGAGACGTTTATGTGTGGAAAGGAACTGCTCTGATCAGGACTATTCAGGCTGCACATGGGGTACCAGTCCACACCCAAACCCAGATCGTAAAACACAGACCCATATGCAGGCACCCAGCCTCAACCCAAACTATTTATTTCAGCTATTCTCTCTTCAGAGCTCTCCACAGCAATTCCTTACCCTCAGTCTCTCTGTGTCCTTTGTCCTAACTCACATTTCTAACATCCTTCTACCAATATACCCACTGTCCCTCCTCTGGACATGTCCGAACCACTGTCCTTTGTCTAGACATGTCCAAACCATCTCAGTCTGTCTCTAACTTTATATCCCAATTGTTCAACCTATGCTGTACCTCTGATGATCTCATTTCTAATCTTATTCATCCTTGTCACTCCCAAGGAAAACAAGAAGTGCATACATCCACCTCTCCAAGTTCTCTTCCACCTGTTCTCACCACAAATCACGTCATCTGCAAACAACATAGTCCACAGGGATTCCTGCCTTACCTCATCTGTTAGTCGGTCCATCACTATAGCAAACAAGAAGTGACTCAGAGCCGATCCTTGATGCACTTCCACCGCCACCTTGAAGCTATCTGTCACGCTTACAGCACATCTCACCACTGTCCTGCTGTCCTCATACATGTCCTCTACTAGTCTGATGTGTCCCGATGTCCTCATACATGTCCTGTACTGGTCAAGCATGAAAAAAGGGCCACTAGCACACTTCTCAATTCCTCAGGCATTTTCTCATCCTCAAATATGCCATTGAATATTTGAGTCAAAAACCTCACTGCCATCTCTCCGAGACATTTCTAAACCTCCAATGGTATGTCATCAGGTCCTACTGCCTTCCCCTTCTTCATTATTTTCAAAGCTTTCTGGACTTCACCCTCACTAATCTTTCCCACTTCCTGGTCCACAGTTTCTATGGCCTCTACTCTTCTTTCTCTTTCAATCTCTTCATTCATTAGTTCCTCAAAGTACTCCTTCCATCTTCCCATCACACTCTCCTCACTTGTTAGAACATTACCATTCCTATCTTTAATAAGCATAACCTGCTGCACATCCTTTCCAGCTTGATCCCTCTGTTTTGCCAATTGGTACAAGTCCTTCTCACCCTCTTTAGTGTCCAACCTCCCATACAACTCATCATATGCCTTCTGCTTTGCCTTTTCTACCTCTCTCTTTTTCTACGTTCCATCTCCTTCTATTCCTGTCTCCTCTCTTCAGTCCTCTCACAGTCATATTTCTTCTTGACTAACCTCTTTCTTTGAATAGCTTCCTGCACTTCACTATTCCACCACCATTTTTTATCATCTTTTTTTTCTGTCCAGATGACACACCAAGCACTTTCCTACCTGTCTCTCTTAATTACTGTTGCTGTAGTAACCCAGCCATCTGGAAGGTCTTTCTTACCACCCAGAGCCTTTAACAGCTCCTCTTTGAACTTCTCACAACATTCTTCCTTCTTCAGCTGCCACCATTTGGTCTTCTTCTCTAATTTTACCCTCTTTCTCTTCTTCACAATAACAGTCATTCTACACAACCATCCAATGCTGTCTGGCCATGCTCTTCCCTGCCACTACCTTACAGTCCCCAATCTCCTTCAGGTTTCCTCTTCTACACAGAATGTAGTCGATCTGCCTCCACTCTTACACCTTACCCAAACATTTGATCTAAACCTTGGCATAGACCTAGACCCTAACACCTACATTCCTTGATACAAAGTTCCACCTGATGACTCAAAACACAGTGAAATTGTTTAATAAATTATGTCTCAACTCATTTGGACAGTTTCAGGGCATTATGTTTCATGTCTCAGAGGGGATCGTGTTGGGTGTTCATCAGGCAGAAGGAGAACTGAGAACAATGCACTTGGTTTCAGGTCTCTCTTTTTGGTACTTGATTTTATTGTCCCACCAGTTTCTCAACATTTTTGAGTATCTGAAGAACTATATGAGGTACTTTTATCAGTTTAGGGTTCTCAGTTGTGAGTTCGTCTTCCACCCCTCAGTAGACACCTCCTACAGGCCTCTGTCACTTCCACATCCCAAGTTATTTATATTTTGTCAGATTCTTAGATGGGGTTGTTTACCCCCTAGCCCTGAACATTCAGCAGATATCTTGAAGGTCTTTGATGTGGGACCAGTTCTTTCATGTCCCCCAGGATCCAACAGTCTGAGAGCGGCTCATGTGTTTCAGGCGGGGATCTTCAGCATGCATGCCTGTGAGGAAGGATTCGCCACCGGAGGAAGAGACGGCTGCGTTCGACTGTGGGATACCGACTTCAAACCCATCACTAGGATTGACCTGAGGGAGGCAGAGCAGGGCTACAAAGGTCTGGAGCTGCTGTTTTCTGAATGAAGTGGTCATATAACTGCTGGCAGAGACGCACATCACAACATCTAACACACCTGTAGCTCCACCAGAACGCCATCATCACTGACTTCATGAGGCTGGAGGTTTCTTGACTTGAAAACGGTTCAAATTCCAAATCTGTGGTTCCAAATGTTTCCTGACAGACATTTAAAACTACTTGTCAGTATGTTTGGGAAAAAAAAAACAAAAAAAACTGCCAAGTCTTTGTGCGATTTAGTTCGCTGTGGCGACCCCTAAAAATAGGGAGCACCCGAAAGAAAAAAAAAATTGTCAGTATGTTTGACTCGTGGAGACCTCGTCAGCCAGTAGTCTGTTCTAATTCATTTTAAGTAGCGTTTTTAGACCTTTCTTTCCAGAGAATGTTATTTTAAAGTTCAGATTAACTCTAGATCTAACTCCAATGCAGCTCAATTAAATTAGCCTTCATGTTTAAAGATTAAATAATGTTTATTTCATATTTAAAATGGGTTTAAAATAAAATCAGGACATAGAGACTGACAGATGCTGTTTTACTGGTAGTCTCCATCCTGGGACTCCTGTCTGGGGAGTACCAGGCCCCAAAATGTTGACTTTATTCTGACATCAAAACTCAAGCAGACATCGTCTTCACAAACAAACAGGTATTCTTGGTGTAGGCAGATGCTCTGACTGTCTGCCTGGTATATCTGAGACATTTAGACACCGAGTCCTGCTTCGGTTTCTCTCAACATCACCAACAGGTCTCGGGGAATTTGGTGAGAACATGATTCTTTGTGGAATCTAAGGAAACGTTAATTTTTCTGTTTAGACCTCTAAAAGACTTGTTTCTGATCAGGTGGCACTGGATTCAATTTGATCCTTTCTGGTTCCAGGTCTGTCGATTCGCAGTGTGTGCTGGAGAGCTGACCGGATCCTGGCTGGCACTCAGGACGGGGAAATCTTCGAGGTGATGGTTCGAGATCGGGACAAACCGGTGCTGCTGATGCAGGGTCACAGCGAAGGGGAGCTGTGGGCGCTGGACCTCCACCCCAAACAGCAGGTGGCTGTTACTGGGAGCGACGACCGCTCAGTCAGGTGAGTGTGACTGAGTAGTTTACCTGTCTGCATCTTACCTGTCTCACCTATCTGTTCGTCCCCTGTCTCATACTGTCGACCACACAACCTTATTAAACAGACTGAAGGTTGTGGCTGGTATTTCTGGCTCAGCTTTGGACTGGCTCACATCATACCGATCTCACAGAACTTTCTGCATCAAGACGGACAGGTTCTCCTCTGATTATGCCCCCTTAACTTGTGGGGTGCCCCAAGGCTCAGTTCTGGGTCCACTTTTGTTTTCTTTTATATTATCCCACTTGCCAGCATTATTCAATCATTTTCTGATATTTCTTATCACATTTATGCTGATGATATTCAGTTGTATTTTTCATTTAAACCACACCAGCTGGATAAATTGACCATCCTTGTCCAATGTTTGTCCCATATCAGTGACTGGCTTGCCAGTAACTTCCTGGTTTTAAACACCAGTAAGACAGAGACTTTGATTACTGCTCCGAGTCATCTTCACCCAAAAATCAATCAGAAAATTGCCTCTTTCTGCCCAGTAGCCAAATCAAAAGTAAAAAATTTAGGAGTCACATTTGACTCATCATTAGGCTTTGAGTCTCACATTAGTGCTATTTCCCGTTCTTGTTTCTTTCATTTAAAAAACATTTCTAAAATACGACCTATGGTCTCCAGAACCGATCTAGAGAAAATTATTCATGCTTTTGTGTCATCACGTCTGGACTACTGTAATGCCCTTTTTACCTGCCTGGAGAAGTCTTCTGTTTCACGTCTACAAGTAATTCAGAACGCAGCTGCCAGACTTCTCACCAAATCCAGCAAATACTGTCACATCACCCCGGTCCTATATTCACTACACTGGCTCCCAGTTGAGTTTAGAATCCGTTTTAAAGTTCTTGTGCTGACGTACAGAGCTTTAAATGGCCAGGCTCCTGTGTATCTTTGTCAGCTTTTGACCAAATACTCTGCTGCTCGTGGTCTTCGCTCCCAGTCACAGAACCTCTTGGATGTTCCACGTACGCGGCTGAAAACTAAAGGGGACAGGGCCTTTCAGTCAGTGGCTCCAAGACTGTGGAACAGTTTGCCACTGCAACTTCGTTCTGCTGACTCTGTTGAGGTTTTTAAAAAGCAACTGAAAACACTTTTATTCTCCCAGGCTTTTATGTCATGATTTTACTGTGCTTCTTGTAGTTCTTAGGCTTGTTTTATTCTTTGTATATTTTAGCATTGATTTTTTTTGTACAGCACTTTGTGATTTTATGTCTGATTTTATGTACAGCGCTTTGTGATTTTATGTCTGTGATAAGCGCTTTATAAATAAACTTTACTTACTTACTTACTTACTCAGGTTGTGGAGTCTAGCAGACCACACCCTGCTGGCTCGCTGTAACATGGAGGAATCTGTTCGAAGTGTTTCCTTCAACAACGATGGCTCGCAGCTTGCTCTGGGCATGAAGGACGGCTCGTTTACCGTTTTGCGAGTCAGGTGAGTCTCTCCATCTTGGGTTGGTTGTTTTCTGGGGCGCTTCTTTACGCTTTGATAGTTTGTGAACTAAAGGCTAATGAACTCCATCCATCCATCCATTATCTTTTACCCGCTACTTCCATTTTGGATCACGGGGGTCGCCGGTGCCCATGTCCAGCAATCACTGTGCGAGGGGCGAGGTACACCCTGGACAGGTCACAACTCCATCACAGGGACACATAGAGACAAACGAGACAAACAATCATTCACTCGCTCACTCTCACCTAGGGTGAATTTAGAGTTACCAATTAGCCTAACATGCATGTTTTTGGTCTGTGGGAGGAAACCGGAGTACCCAGAGAAAACCCACGCATGCACAGATAGAACATGCAAACTCCACCCAGAAAGGTCCCCGGACCGGGATTTGAACCAGGGACCTGCTCGCTGAGAGGCAGCAGCTCTACCAGTTGCGCCACCGTGCTGCCCACTAATGAACTCCTACCTGATGAAGAATGACCTTTCTGCTGTCAGTGTTGTTCATTCCAACAAGGAACTTAAGGTGAGATCTTCTTCTGCAGGGACATGACAGAGGTGGTCCACATCAAGGACAGAAAGGAGGTGATCCATGAGCTTAAGTTCTCTCCAGATGGTACTTTACTGGCGGTGGGATCCAATGATGGACTGGTTGATATATATGCCGTTGCTCAGCGCTACAAGAAGGTCGGCGAGTGCAGCCGCTCCACCTCCTTCATCACCCACTTGGACTGGTCAGTGGACAGCCGCTTCCTGCAGACCAATGATGGTTCTGGTGAGCGGATCTTCTACAGGATGCCAGGTACCAGTGTCAACACACAAAAACATGGTTTACACTTCAGGGTCTCGGCATAAGACTACCTACACTTTGATTCAAAAATGAACTTTCAAACACCTGTCGAGTAGTTCTGCCTTAGAACTCACCTGTTTGAACTCACCTGTTTGAGTAATTTAATATTTACCTTGATGCTTATCAGCTGAGACTTGTTTCTGAGCTGGCAACTCTTTCTGGTCCCACTTGATCCTTGTTTTTCAGCTGGAAAGTTGGTTCCTAAAGAGGAAGTCAAGGGGATACACTGGATGACCTGGACAGGTGTCATTGGGCCTGAGGTGAATGGGATCTGGCCCAAATACTCCACTGTCACAAACGTGAACTCTGTGCACGCCAACTACAGCAGTGCTGTTCTGGTGACCGGGGATGATCTGGGTCTCATCAAGCTATTCCGGTTCCCCTGCTTGAAAAAAGGTATGTACCCTCCTTCTAACATCAGGAACATCTCAGTAAATCCAGATCATAACCTGGACCCTCACCTGAGGACTCAGGTGATGGCTTTTAGTTCCTACGTTCAAAAGGTTTTCACATAAATTCTTCAAAATTCAGTCATTTGGACTTCCAGATTCAGAGAGGGATGAAATAAACTTTCACTGGTTTCTGAGTCTCCGGATGAGCTCTTCTAGCAACTGCTAATGATCTTCTTCCTGAACAGGGGCCAAGTTCAAAAAGTACATTGGACACTCTGCCCATGTGACCAACGTTCGCTGGTCCAGTGACTTGCAGTGGGTCATCAGCACCGGCGGTGCCGACCATGCCGTCTTCCAGTGGAGGTTCCTTCCTGAAAGCGTCATGAACGGTGTTCTGGAGCCGCTTCTTCAAGGTAGAGTAGATTTATTCATTCATTCATTCATCATTTTTACTTGTTCCAGGTCCATCAGTCACTGTGCGAGAGGCGGATGACACCTGGACACCCAAATACCTGATCTCCACTGTGACGGCTGGTCCATTGGGGCAGGTGGGGCACAGCCCCACCTAAAAATTTATTTGCCACACAAAGTAGTTCCTCCTAATAAATAATTGCAATTTAATGTGGAATTTAAAATAATTTATAGTGATTAATTCTCAGTTTTTACTTACTTATGGGGCAATATCGTTCAACGATCCGCGTTTGGCAAGCGGATCCTCGTCTTCGGCTGCTTTTAGCTCATTGGTACAACCTCTACCTGGATGTGACGTGAGCTCAAACCCAGGAACAGCTGCAGTGAAACCTGCTGAGACCCATAGTGGAGAGATTCTGACTTTAAATTTGTTTAGAGCTGACAGAGGACACCAGAACTGAACAGAGGAAAGTTAAAAGACAGAAAGTTTTCTCCAACATAGTAGGACCTTATTTAAACAATTTTGTGGCTCCTGTGTATATCTGTGGTGGATCAGTGGTTGAAGCAGAGGTTTGTAGCCAAGTGTTTGATCACCACTTGAATCTTCTATTTGAATCGTTGATGAAATGTTGAGTCAGCATTTTTTTAACTTTATTTTAGATTTACTTCACCGAACGTTTTCCTCTCATTTAACTGTGTTAATATGGAGTTATATTTCAGAATTATTATTTCAAATAAAATTAGAAATCCAAATCAGAAAGCTGTGTGCCTGTGGGCTGGGGCTGGGAGGAGTCTGTTTCTCTGATTTATTGGACTGGACAGTTTTTCACGAGACAACCTCGACCCGCAGGAGGGAACAACTTTGTAGACGCACACACAAAAACAATTAATTAAATATTATGCAATATGCATCCGGATTTATTTACACAGAAAATGTAACGCAATGTGTAAACATTTTCAGGGAGTTTGTGTCCTCCACCAGGTGGCAAAGACTCCTCCCCTGACCTGCAGTAATTCTTGTTTTCTAAATTAACTCATGAGAGATGTTTTTATAAACCCCAAATCAGGTTATTTATTTTTTCTGCTTCAATAAAAAAGGAAAATCTGGTTTTTATTTACTTTGTCTTTTGTATTTGTTTTTCTGTGAGCAATAGTAAACAAATTTTGCTCATTTATGCCCTCGGCCCCTGCGGAGCATCGACCATTCAAAAGTTCTTTTCATCACACCCGGTTCTGGCTCAAACAACCTTTAACCTATAAATATTAATATTTGATTCACTGAGGTCTTATTCACAATGACCTCTTCATCACTAAATGTTTGCTTTTCTGCTGTGTGACCTCAGAGGGTTATGCCGACTCAAACAGTGGCGAGTCGGACTCGGACGTGTCGGACGTCCCAGAACTGGACTCAGACATCGAACAAGAAGCTCAGACCAACTATGAGCGGCAGGTAAGCAGGAAACAGATCCTGCTGTCCATAAATCACCTGCCCATCAGCTGACTCACCTGTGTCTGTGCTGCGCAGGTGTATAAGGAGGATCTGCCTCAGCTCAAAAAGAAGCTGATTGGTTCCCTGAAGCGTCAAAAAGCGCCGGAGGAGGGGCTTCGCCTGCAGTTTGTCCACGGGTAAAAATAAAACTAAAAGCTAAATTGTCTAACAGTTGTAAAAAATAAGCATTAACCTATTCTATAAAGTTTCATGACCCACAGCTGACTAAAACTCTTTATTAATCACATGTTCATCAACAGGTTTCATTTGGCAGCACTGTTGCCTCACAGCAAGAAGGTCCTGGGTTCAATCCCCGGTTGGACCTGGGGTCTTTCTGTGTGGAGTTTGCATGTTCTTCTCGTGCTTGCGTGGGTTTTCTCCGGGTACTCTGGTTTCCTCCCACAGACCAGGCCCAGGCCTCCTTGCAAAAGAGATCTGTGATCTCAATGGGGTTAAATGGTTAAATAAATGTTAATAAAATAAATAACATTTATTTTCTAAAAAAACATTTAATGGTTTAAAACTCAACACAACTTAAAATAATTTACAACATTTCTATTTGATTACTGAGCTGTTTTTAATAAATTAGCTTCAGTTCACAACAAAAATCATTTCAGGGAACAAAAATATTCTCATGGTCATAAAATGATGAGTAAAAGTTTTCTAAGGAAGCAGCGCATTGGAGGCAGTGGGAAGAAATAACTCAAGGACGGTAGCTCCAGCAGAACCAGAACCGGGCTCAGGACAGGCACAGAGACAGATCTCTTTGTCCTGCAGGTACCGAGGCTTCGACTGCAGGAACAACTTGTTCTACAGTCAGACGGGGGAGGTGGTGTTCCACGTAGCCGCTGTGGCCGTCGTCTACAACCGGCTGCAGCACAGCCAGCACTTTTATCTGGGACACGATGACGACATCCTCAGCCTCGCTGTCCATCCGCTCAAAGACTATGTGGCCTCAGCACAGGTACAATCGGCCAATCAGAGTGCAGCATTTTGATTTTCAGACAGAGTTTGTCATCATCTGTCTGTGCCTTCAGGTGGGCAGAGACCCGGCAATCCACGTCTGGGACGTCCAAACCCTGAAGTGTCTGTCGCTGCTCAAAGGACACCACAGCAAAGGAGTGTGCGCTTTGGACTTTACAGGTGGGTCAGGTGGTTTTTTTCCTCCATCACTGTTCCCTTACACCGACTCATCAAATTTACACTGTCACTCAGTCCTTGGGTTTCCCTTAGTCATTCTTTCTGATCCCAGAGTTAGCAGTCTATATTCACCCGGCCATGCATGATGGGCGGGTGAATATAGACTGAGAATTCTTCCTAGAGCTCATCTTTGCCACCAGGAATCGACATGGCCAGGGAGCAGGAGATAGATCGACGGCTTGGGGCCTCATCCTCAGTAGTGAGGGTGTTTCTTTGGTCTGTCATGGTGAAGAAAGAGCCAAGTTGAGAGGCAAAGCTTTGGATTTACTGATCTGTCTACGTTCTAACCCTCACCTTTTGTCATGAGGTTTTGATCATGACAGATATGACCAGATCCAGCTCGTCAGATCCATTTGTTTTCACTGTCTGTTTAAACTTCTGTGTGTCTCAGCTGATGGCAAGAGTTTAGTTTCTGTTGGAATCGACGAATTTCACTCCATCGTCATCTGGGACTGGAAGAAAGGAGAGCGACTGGCCAAGGCTAGGTAAATATGCCTGGACAGAGTTCACCTGGACTAGGCCAGGTAAACACACCTGGAACCAGTTGACCAGGACTAGACCAGGTAAACACACCTGGAACCAGTTTACCTGTGAAACTGACAGGTGTCAGGTGCCAGATGTTCAGCTGGTGTTGAACCTGCTGGACCTCACTCTGGTTGCTGTAAACTATCACAGTCTATCACATGATAATAGGAAATAAACAACAAATGTTGTTTGTTAGATACTGTTATATGAAATATTGTTGTTTGTTTTTGTTGTTTATTGCAATGTTATTGACTAAAACTTGCATTCTGCCCTCAGAGCTCATAAAGAGAAGATCTTTGTGGTGAAGAGTAATCCGTTCAGGATGGACAAGTTGCTAACTGTTGGGATTAAACACATCAAGTTCTGGCAGCATTCAGGTAGATCCCCTTCCTTTTTGTCCTGAAGTACACCTTAAAATCCAGGAGGGTCCACTGGTTCACTTCCTCTTTGTACCCGAGAAACACCTGGAAATAATCCATATATATGCAAATGAACAGATGACATTTGACCTGTCCTTTGTCATCCTACAGGTGGGGGTCTGACCTTTAGACGGGGGATCTTTGGGAACCTAGGGAGGCAGGAGACCATGATGTCGGCTTGTTATGGTCGGTCTGAGGACCTGGCTTTCACTGGAGCCACCAACGGAGATGTCTACATCTGGAAGGACACCACGCTCATCAAGACCGTCAAGGCTCACGATGGACCTGTCTTTGCCATGTGTTCCCTGGACAAGGTGAGCTGGAACATCTTAACATTTGATCATCCATCCATTGTTGACTTGTTAATTATAGACTGGATAAACAAACTCTCATGATGACCCTACAAAGACCATAGTGAGGGTAGAGAATTGGTCAAGTGTTACATGGCCAGGATGGAACCCACATTGTTCTTCCTGAATCTGAGGTTTGACCATCGATCAGACTTATGACTCAGACTTAAGATCCTTATGAGGGGTTTTTCTGCCAGGCGTTCCCAGCAAACCCTCACTATATATTTGGGTCTACCGGGTCTGTCCGGCATCTGACCCAACTCACTACCAGGTGGTGATCAGTTGACATCTCAGCTCCTCTCTTCATTCGAGTATCCAAAACATACAGCCGCAAATCAGATGACACAATTACAAAGTCTATTACTGATCTACGAACTAGGGTGTCCTGGTGCCAAGTGCACTTATGGACACCCTTATGTTCCAACATGGTGTTTGTGATGGACAAACTATGACTAGCACAGAAGTGCAACAACAGAACACCGCTTGGGTTCACATCAAAGAGGCTGTTCTTCTCAATTACGCCCCTCCAGGTGACACTGTCATTACCCATGTGGGCATTCATCATCATCACCTTTATTTAAACAGATAAAAGCCCACTGAAATCAAGATCTCTTTTGAAAGAGTGGCCTGGCCAAGAGGTCAGCAGCATACATCATTAAAGAACATTTGAAGCATTGAGCAGAATTAATGTCCCCAGCTAGAGCACCTTCCAGCACTCCCTCGTAGGACTCCAAGAAGGCTGGATACTCCACACTGCCTTTCAGCTCATAGGCTTCATCAGTCAGAGCCTGTCCCCACACCTGAAGGCATAGGGAAGTTACCCTTTCATCTACCAGGGAAAGCTCTAGACACACAGGCACTAAGGGGGTGGGGGTGGGGGGGGGAGATAAGTAAACCCACACCAGCCTAGCACCTCTCACCATGGGCAACTCCAGAGTGGGATAAGTTACAGGAGATTGGTTCTGGAGCCCATGCTGTGCTATGAGGTGAGCCCGACTATTTAGTCAGTACTTTTCAACCTCCTGCACAAGCTCAGGCGCCTTCCCCACCATAGAGTTGACATTCCATGTCCCAAGAGCCAGCTTTGGGGTGCTAGGGTCAGAGCGCCAAGGGCCCCGCCTTTGGGGGCATCAGCAGGGGCCAGTGCATGATGCACTTGACCCATTGCATCATCATCATGCATCGGACCCATTGCATCGTCATGCTTTGAACCTGTATGGCCCCTCCTGCAGGTGGTGAGCACATAGGAATGCAAACCATATAGCTCCTTCAGGCAGAGCCCAAACTGACTCCATGGGTAGAGGCCCTGCCACCAGGCACTCTCCAACGGGCCCCTCCTTCAGACCTGGCTCCAGGGTGGGGCTCAGGTAACCCATGACCGGTCAAGGAACACTGAGCTCCTTGCTGTTGTCTTTGTCTGGCCTGTCCCCTAGGACCAATCTGCCTTGGTAAACCCTACCAGGGGCAATTGCATCAAACTCCTAGGATCATTCAGGCACACAAACCCCTCCACCCCAATAAGGTGGTGATTCAAAGGAAAGTAATTTTGTCTATGTTGTTTATTGTTGTTTTGTCTGTGTTGTTTATTGTTGTTTTGTCTGTGTTGTTATATTTGTTTTTTCTGTGTTGCTTTCCAGGGTTTTGTGACGGGGGGGAAAGATGGCATTGTGGAGTTGTGGGACGACATGTTTGAGCGATGCTTGAAGACGTATGCCATAAAGCGAGCTTCGTTGTCTCCGTCTTCCCAAGGTTTGGTCTCCTGCTTCCAGTTGTTTCTGACGTTTCTGAAGTTGGCTTGATTTTTGGGTTCTCTGATCAGGCTTGCTGCTGGAGGACAACCCGTCCATCAGAGCCATCACTCTGGGTCACGGTCACATCCTGCTTGGAACAAAGAACGGAGAAATCCTGGAAATCGATAAAAGTGGACTGATGACGCTGCTGGTCCAGGTCAGAGTCTGATCTATAGGTCTAAGTCAGCCACTCACAGTCTTTGAGTGGTTCAGGTCAGAGTCCAGTCTAGAGATCCATGTTTGATGTGTTGTGTTTGTATAAATCTGAAGAGGAAGTGGATTGAAAATAATGCAGGAGGTGAAATCATACTGAGGCTTCTTCCAGACCCAAAGATAATTGAAACCCTGTGTTTGATGCATTCAGGGTCACATGGAGGGCGAGGTGTGGGGTTTGGCAGCTCATCCTCTACTTCCTATCTGTGCCTCTGTCAGCGATGATAAAACTCTGAGGATCTGGGAGCTGTCAGCCAATCACAGGATGGTCGCTGTGCGTAAACTCAAGAAAGGTGAGAGCAGCTTACAGTAAGTAAGCACCTGTGTTTATGGCACCTGTTGTTACCTGCGTTTCTTGTGTTACCTGCCAGGTGGGCGGTGCTGCGCCTTTTCTCCAGATGGTAAAGCTCTGGCTGTCGGTCTTAATGACGGCAGCTTTATCGTGGTGAATGCAGACACGTTGGAGGACATGGTGACCTTCCACCACCGCAGGGAGCTCATCTCAGACATTTGTTTCTCCCAAGGTACCAGAACTCAGTGCACAGGTGAGACACACAGTGAAGTTCAGCCACTGATTAGTCAGGTGTGTGGTGCAGATGTGGGAAAGTACCTGGCCGTGGCGTCCCATGACTCCTTTGTGGACATCTACAACATCCTGACGAGTAAAAGAGTCGGCATTTGTAAAGGAGCGGGAAGCTTCATCACTCATGTGGACTGGGACTCCAGAGGTCAGTCCCTGTCCTGCTGCAGCTCCATGGTACCTGTGCTTCAGACCAGTAGATCTAAACCTCCATGCTGTTTGCAGGTAAGCTGTTGCAGGTGAACACCGGAGCCAAGGAGCAGCTTTTCTTTGAGGCGCCGCGAGGACACATACAGAACATCAGCGTGGCCGAGGTCAGGAACCTGCTACGGTTGTTCGGGTCCAGTTGTTTAGGTAAAATGGGTTGTCATGAAAGTTTTCTTTGTGTATTCAGTTTGAGAAGTTGGACTGGGCCACCTGGACCTCAGTTCTGGGTCCAACTTGTGAAGGAATATGGCCGACTCTCAGCTTCATTAACGCAGCTTCGCTCACTAAAGATCGCAAACTGCTTGCAACAGGAGATGACTTTGGCTTTATCAAACTCTTCAACTATCCATCAAGGGTGAGAGTGAAACTGGAAACATAGGTTCTGACCTGAATGTGTTCTGATGGTATCAAGCTTCTCTTCTAACAGTCCACACACTCTCCTCAGGGCCAGTTTGCCAAGTTTAAGAAGTATGTGGGTCACAGCACCAATGTAACAAATGTGCGCTGGTCCAACGACAACTCCATGCTGCTGTCAGTGGGCGGGGCTGACACAGCACTGATGATCTGGACAAGAGAACTGCCAGGTCACAAAGAAAACAAAGCCATGGACAGCGAGGAGTCGGATGCTGACTCAGAGGAAGATGGAGGTAACTTTACACAGAGGAAGGGGGAGACAGGAGAAGCATGGTCAAGTGATGGATCTGTCATGTTTCAGTGAAACAGTTCAGTTCTGTTGTTTCAGTGAAAAAGAAAATAAATGGTTCCACCTTTTTCATTTAAATTGATGATAAATCTGTCAAGTTTCAGTGAAATTGTTGATGGATCTGTCATGTTTTGGTGAACTGGTGAATGAATCTGTTATGTTTCATGGAAACATGTAATGGTCTGTTGTGTTTCAGTGAAAGTGTTGATAGATCTGTTATGGTTTCAGGGTATGACAGTGACATCGCTTTAGAGAAGGGGATCGACTATGTGGCTAAGGTCTATGCAACAAGCACAAGGAATATGTCAGGAACCAAACCTCACCTACAGCACCGAGAGCTTCCTGTGGAGGAGAGGTACCTGCTGCAATAGCACGTTACTTGATGACTCCAGACAATTTTTGGTTAATGTTGCTCGTCCTGTTCAGGCCTCCTGTGAGCCGAGCTGCACCACTGCCTGACAAGCTGCTGAAGAACAATGTGACCAAAAAGAAGAAGATGGTGGAGGTCAGTGCCTGACATCCAGTTGACAAGGATCTGCCGACCTTCGACTCACATTCTGACTGCCGTTTGTTGATAGGAGTTGGTGCTGGAGCACGTCTTCGGCTACAGAGGCTTTGACTGCCGCAACAACCTGCATTACCTCAACGATGGTGCGGACATAATCTTCCATACTGCTGCTGCTGTGGTCATCCAAAACCTGTCTGCCGGTCTGTAGAACTCTGTTAGACCTTCTGAGAAACAGTTGAGGATGACCTCACACTTCCTATTTCCTGTCCACACAGGAACTCAAAGTTTCTATCTGGAACACACCGACGACATCCTCTGTCTGACCGTCAATCAACACCCCAAGTACCAGAACATCATCGCCACTGGCCAGATCGGTGAGTCCAATATCAGAACCTCAATAGATTAGTGAGTGCGACACCAAAACACAGATTGTTGAGGCCCACACCAAGACTCGTACATTGATGAGTGGGCTTGTCTAGGACACAGCCAGACTTTTATTTTGAAAAGTATCTATGAGCTTTATTATTAAACTCCAGGTTCAGTCCTCTTCCTGTTTCTTGCCAACCCTTTGACTGAATCCTCTTGAACATCAAAGGTCTGGTTAGAGACTATATGAAGGAACTATGGGGGCAGCCCTGATGGAGATGGGAGGACGAAGAAAAACATGCTGCTGGGCAATATAAAAGACACAGAAGCTGCCGAGTCTCTGGTTGCCATGGTGAATCCCACCTTTCTTTAGGGAGTGGAAAGGGATAGGGCAGCACCCAACAGTACTTTAGGCAGAAACCCAGAATAAACTTGAACTCTGATCTCTGACATGACCCCTGACCTGACCTCTGGGAGATTTGAAAGAAAACCTTCGGTCCTGCAGCAGAGGACAGGGTGCAACCCCCATCTTCATCACTTACAATCTTCTGCCCTTTCACACCACTTTGCTGGATTGGTTGGATGGGTTGGCAGTGAGGTGATGACGTGCTTTATGGTAGAAAAGGTAAAAGCATTTAGCTAAAAATCAAAATGGCTGCCCTTTTTTCCAGATGTATATGTATTTTTAGTGATCTAATTCTTAAAAACAGTAACGGACAAAAATAAACCAAAAGTTTTCTGTCTAACTATGTCGTCAGGTCCTCTGAACGGATTCTTCTTTGTTGCAACGTTTTGTCTTTTATCCAAAAGACTTCATCAGTCTGAGGACCTGCAACAAAATGACACCTACTCATAGTGGATCAATCCGTTTACTGGTGACATCCAGAACTATCTGTTCACAGCCTAACAAATGATAGTTAGTGCCCTGATGGCCACTTTCTATTCAGAGGGGGCTGAGTGATGCTAGCAATAACAGCATTGTAAGAGGGGGACAGTTGGACACGGAGGCCTCCGTCCCTGTTTAATGATGGACTGGTTCTCTTCACAAAGATGGCTTCCTTCACTCCTCTCACCAACCATCGTTCCTCTCTATCAAGGATGTGCACATCTTCATCCCTGAAAGAATGACCGATGGTCTGGAGATGAGTGTAGACCACAGAGTCCTGGCCTGATGATGCTCTTCTGTGCTGAACCATCGGAGGTTGAATCTCAGGTGGTTCCTGTAGTCTGCCCTCTTCCTTGCTGTTTGCTCAAATTCTCGAATTACTGTAGTTTGAGGCAATCCTGGCCGAAGTGGTTCAAAATATCCTGACATGCTCCTCAGACTGACGAAGTCTTTTGGATAAAAGACGAAACATTTCAACAAGAAGAATCCGTCCAGAAGACCTGACAACTTTCTTAGATTGTTCTACCTGGATTATTGAGCATGCATCAGGACAAAATTGATTTTATTAAAAAAAAAAAAAAAAACTTTGTATTTGCACATTGTCAGCCACCCAGAAAAAAGGCATTCTTCTTTGAATATTTAAGTGGCTAATGTTCTTTTTTAAATGAGTCTTGTCTGAGGAACGGACACAAAAGGACACACTAAGGTACAGGAGGAACATCGTGACAAAACTATCTTAAACACAGAACCAACCCAGGAAGTGAAGATGGACCCCATTTTGAATGAATTAACTTTATTTAAAAAGGGACATTGTACAACTCATACATAAATGTCACCATTTGATGCGTTGTACCAGATTAAAAGCTAATTTGCATCTGCATCTTTTAGATGTGTGTTGGATTTTTCAAATCCTGTGAGGACTGTGATGATTAAAGACTGGTTCCACGTGGTCTAACACCATCTTTTAGTTCTTCTGAAGGTTACGACTCTCAGGTTTTAGAAAACGGGTTTGAAATACTGTCTGGTATCAAACAGTTCTGGTGTTCCACTGTCTCTTTCTGCCTGATGTCTGCAGTAAACAGGAACTGATGCTGTTTCACATTCAGGTTCTGCAGAACCTCCTTAGTTTTATTTCTCTGCATGTTGTTTTCATTCATGCCTGGCTGCTTCGACTCCATCACATCTTGTTTTTTTCTTTTCACTGCTTTCTCATCGTCACCGCCTCACCTCACCACCAGGTGACCTCACTGACCTGACAGGTAAGAGTGCTCTACACTTAAACACAGTTCTGTTTGCTTTTCTGTGTGATCTGTAGAACCTGAAGGGTCCAGGAGAATCAGAACCCAGCATCCTGATCAGATCTGAACAGAAATAAACCAGTTAAAACCACGTCTGTCAGAGATGATCACATGAACCTTTATTTAAGTCTTATTCAGTTATTGTCCTCCATCTTCCTGCAGTTTGTTGTGTTTCCATAAATCCCTTCAGATTAGACCAATCTGGTAACCCCAACAAGTCTAACGTTATGATCATTGATCTAGATTCAGACTATAAGAGTCAAAATGAGTCATTGTACAACCTCAAATAAGGTTGAGTTGGGTCCACTGGACGGATTCTTCTTTGTCCAGAGGACCCGACTCAACCTTGTTCGATTCATCTACCTGGATTATTGAGCAGCATCAGGACATTGTACAACTTAATTTCAGAAAAAAAGTTAGGATGTTGTGTAAAATGTAAGTAAAAACAAAATAATTTGGAAATCTTCAGAGCTCATTTCAAATCGACCGAGGCGAAGTGGAGAACTGTTCTGAGGTCAGACTCGTCCAAATCTGAAGTTCTGTTTGGAAACCTTAAATACCATGTCCTCTGTGCTAAAGGGAAGAGGGACCATAAAGACTGTTATCTGCTCACAGTTCCTGTCTGCCTCGCTGACGGTATGGGTGTGCATTAGTGCCTATGAGATGAGAAGTTTTCACTTCTGGAAAAACTCCATCAATGCAGAAAAACATCTACATGTTTTAGAACATCTGTCAACAACGCCTCTTGTTCTCCAAAATCCCCCCAACAACTGGTCTCCTCAGGTCCTCCAAAACCTCCAACAACTGTTCTCCTCTGATCCTTAAAAAACCAGCAACTGGTTTCCTCAGATCCTCCAAAACCTTTGACTGGTCTCTTCAAATCCTCCTGAAACCTACAACAGCTTGTCTCTTCAGGTCCTCCAAAGTCTCCCAATAACTGGTCTCATGTCCTGGAAAACGCTCTCCCACATCTTTAACAACTGGTCTTCTCAGGTCCTCCAAAACCTCCAGCTGGTTTCTTCAGATCCTCCAAAACCTCCAACAACTGGTCTCAGGTCCTAGAAAACCTCCAATAAATTGTCTCCTTTCGTTCTCCAAAACCTCCAGCAACTGGTCTCAGGTCCTAGAAAACCTCCAATAAATTGTCTCCTTTCGTTCTCCAAAACCTCCAGCAACTGGTCTCCCCAGGTCCTCCCAACAACTGGTCTCCCCAGGTCCTCCCAACAACTGGTCTCTTCAGGTCCTGGATGTTCACACATTGTTGGTCAAAGAACAGTGCGGTCTCTACAGAGGAATCATGGACATGACCAACTTTAAACAGACATGTTGCTGCCAGAAAACTAAAAACTTTACCAGATTTATTTTTCTAAAAATGGTTAAATTTCTTAGTTTGAACATTTGATGTTTATTCTGTTCCACTGGGAATAAAATGTTTTTTACAAAACATTACATGCTGCTTTTATTTACAAAACATGCATCAACCCGACTTTTTCAGAATAGCCATCGTATAAAGAAAAGTTTTGACATTTTCTTTTTTTAAACTGGGTTTTCATGTTTGTCCACATCTTTGATGCAGCTGCAAGAAACTAAGGCCTATTGACTGGGGTCTGGTCTGGACCAGGTCTGGAGCAGGTTTGGTGGTGTGTATCGGTCTGGTTTTAAAGGGAAGGTTTCAGATGATGCGTTTGTAGAGTCTGTGAGGACCACCATCTTTCTTTTGCTGAATAAAGGATTGTATCAATAAGCTGTTCCTTTTTCTGCTGATCCCCTCTCTCGGTTTACTCCATCCCACATTAGAACCTTCTGGTTCCAGTTCCTCTTCACTTTCCTGGTTCTGTTGGTCTTCTGCCAAGTTATTTCTTCTTTCTGCTGCCCATCAGTTCAGTCTCAGCTCCTTAGTGTTCCGTAGACCTCAGCTGTTCACCAACATTTACCAATTCAAAGATCAGAGTTGGACTCGGCTTCAAAAGGAGGCAAGATCCAAATATTAACTCTTCATGTATTTCATTATTTTCTTTAAATCCATCATTTGTCAGTTTGCACATTGATTTCCAACTAGTTTACAGTGAAACACTGATTGTTCTTCATTTGTTTTTTAAGTTCCACAACACAAGGTGCCTGAGGATCTGGAATACTGCCTTGGTCGTATGGTCCTTTGGTTCCTTATTTCTTTGGTTCTTCAGTTTTTTGGTCCTTTGGATGTATGGTCCATTCGTTAATTGCCGTTTTGGTTCTTTGGTCTTTTGTTTTTTGTTCCTTTGGTTATTTGTTTTTGTTCCAGTCCTTTGCCTCAGCATCAACCTGAAAGCCTCAGCTTCACAAGGTTTTTGTAGTTCTATAAAGTTCATAACTGGCTGCTGTAATCCTCTCTTTTGATTTAATTTCAGAAGTTCCTCAGTGCATCAGGTCCACAGTTTCATAGATCTATGAGCTCTCATGTTCTCAGTCATGTGGTTTCTACAGCCCTGGTTTCTCTTCGCAGGACTTGCTCCATCCATCCATGTGTGGGACGCAGTGACCAAGCAGACGCTGTCCATCCTGCGTTGTTCCCATGCCAAAGGTGTCAGCTACGTTAACTTCAGTGCGACTGGGAAGCTTCTGCTGTCTGTGGGCGTGGAGCCAGAACACACCATCACTGTGTGGAGGTGGCAAGAAGGTGGGTTACATTTCCACCCTGAGGTGTTCCACTGTGAACGTGGGATCCCGGAGCGATACTCTTAACAGTTTTAAGTGAACTAGATCAACTGCATCACATACACTCTGACCTCTCTCTTAGGCACCAAGGTGACCAGTAAAGGTGGCCATGCAGAGCGGATCTTTGTGGTGGAGTTCAGACCTGACTCTGACACCCAGTTTGTGTCTGTGGGGATCAAACACATTAAGTTCTGGAATCTGGTTGGAGGTTCACTCATGTATAAGAAAGGGGTGATTGGCTCGGTGGAGGATGGCCGCATGCAGACCATGCTGTCTGTCGCGTTTGGGGCCGTAAGGAGTTCTACAGTTCTTAAGTCACAGGTTCATAAACCTGCTAAAGGTTTTAGGTTGTAGTAAATCCGTGTTTGTCTTGTTCAGAACAACCTGACGTTTACCGGAGCGATCAACGGAGATGTGTATGTCTGGAGGGAACACTTTTTGGTTCGAGTTGTGGCAAAAGCTCACAGCGGTCCAGTCTTCACCATGTACACCACGCTGAGGGATGGGCTCATCGTCACCGGAGGGAAGGAACGACCGTGAGTAAATTAATTGGTCTGGATCTGGTTCTAGGCCTTTCTGACATTTGTGGCCTGCTGTTTAAGCTGCAAATGAAATTTTTCTAACATGGTCCTCCTAATGTCACTGTTGAGGAGATGCTTCAGTTTTAAACTCGGGAACAAAATTTGTCTCCAGATGCTAAAGGACATACACGTTTGCTCCTTCATGTTGTGTTTGCCTTGGCTCTGGTCTTTCTGGACTCATCACCAGAGGGGACTCCTGAACTTCAGACTGATCTAGTTCATCAGTCTGTGATCCGATTCATCTCCCCATCCAGGGCATTTGAGACCTTGAACCGGATCGTCCTGTTAATCCAATGCAGACTGGGATTCTTTTGGTTAAAGCCTTGATCGACAGACTAACTTGAGACCTGCAGGTCTAACAGAACTGAATAAATGCAGGTGTTTGTTCCACAGGACTAAAGAGGGAGGAGCTGTGAAGCTGTGGGACCAAGAGATGAAGCGCTGCAGAGCCTTCCAGCTGGAGACCGGTCAGCCAGTAGAGAATGTCCGATCAGTCTGCAGAGGGAAGGTAAGACCTTCACATTGGTTCAGATCCAATCTTAACTTGTAGGAACTTCCAGTTCACCACACACACCTGAAGTTTACAATGGGCCATCTAATGGGTTTTAATGTAGTGCAGCGTCTTCTTCTAAAGCAGTACCGTCCAGTTTTCCGATGGGTCTTTTCGCTTCAGGGTAAGATTTTGGTGGGAACCAAAGATGGGGAGATCATAGAGGTTGGAGAGAAGAATGCTGCATCCAACGCCATGATCAACGGACACACTCAGGGAGGGATCTGGGGTTTAGGAGCTCATCCTTTCAAAGACGTCTTCATCTCGGCCAGTGATGATGGAACGATACGGATTTGGGACCTAGCTGACAAGGTACAGATCTTTGAGTCCTTCAGTCTTCATGTGGTCTACTGCTGACATAAACTCTATTCTCTGCCCCAGAAACTGCTAAATAAGGTGAGTTTGGGTCACCCTGCCAAGAGCACCTCCTACAGTCCCAACGGAGAGATGGTGTCTATTGGCATGGAGAACGGAGAGTTCATCGTCCTGCTCGTCAACTCGCTCACAGTCTGGGGCAAGAAGCGGGACCGCAGTGCTTCCATCCAGGACATCCGGTAAACATCTGGTTTTTACCAGAATATACAGCAGGACTTCTGTTTGATTCTCCTCAACCTTCTGGGCTTTTTGTGGTTCAGGTTCAGTCCAGATAACCGGTTCCTGGCTGTGGCTTCTGTTGAAAGTGCTGTTGATTTCTACGACCTTTCTCTCGGGCCGTCACTCAATCGAATCGGTTACTGCAAGGACATTCCGGGCGTTGTGATCCAGATGGACTTCTCTGCTGACAGCAAACACATCCAGGTGAGTACAAACCTACCGACGGTTGAGCAGAAACACCACAACCGTTCCTGTAACCTCTGACCATCTTCTTTCAGGTGTCCACCAGCACCTACACCCGGCAGATACACATGGTTCCATCAGGAAAGATCGTCACAGAGCTACATGTCATCGAGAGGATCACCTGGGCAAGCTGGACCAGGTGAGACTTCAAAGGCTGAGATACTGATGAATCTGGTGTTGATGATACGGGTCAGATCTTTCTGGTTCTGTAAACGGATGTCTGCAGATGACGGGAGGTGGCTGCTGTTACATTTTGAGCTCAGTGATTATAAAAACTTCATAATGTCCCTGTAAACACTGAGTTGGAGCACATGGCTTTAAACTGATAGCTATTTATAACAAAATAAACAGTTTTATTACATTGACTCCACATGTCAGGATGTTGTATGAACACAATGCATCATGGGGAATCTGACACCTTGAACCTGTGGCAGAATAATACCAGAACAATAAGAAGTTGCAGGAACCTGGATCCACATGTGAAGAACTCAAAGGTCCAAAACAAGAGTCAGCAACAGAAAGGTCAAAGGGTCCAGACTGTGGTCGAAGGTTGAGTCCTGAACGTCTCACATGAAATCTCAGCTTCTGCTCACAGACGACTTATTAGTGTCGACCAAGAAAACATCCCATAATAAGCATCTGCTGCACGTTTGTTGTCATGTCCCAGTCGCAGAGCTTTTATTTTGAAACTGTGGCTGTGACATCTCTAACAAAGTTAAGTCGGGTCCTCTGGATGGTTTATTTTTGTTGAAACGTTTCGTCTTTCATCCAAAAGACTTCCATCAGTCTGAGGGAGGTGACACTTCCTGTTGTCAGTTTAATCAAACTCTTGTGGATGTTAAAACCCATTGAGGGGTTTGGTTTGGGTCCTAACAGGGTTCAGTCTGGGTTCAGTCAGGGTTCGGTCTGTGCCCTGACGGGGTTCAGTCAGGGTTTGTCTGGTTCCTGACAGGTTTCATTCAGGGTTTGTCTGGGTCCTGACAGGGCTCAGTCAGGGTCCGGTCTGGTTCCTGACAGGGTTCAGTCAGGGTCCGGTCTGGTTCCTGACAGGGTTCAGTCGGGGTCCGGTCTGGTTCCTGACAGGGTTCAGTCGGGGTCCGGTCTGGTTCCTGACAGGGTTCCGTCGGGGTCCGGTCTGGTTCCTGACAGGGTTCAGTCAGGGTTTGGTCTGGATTCTGACAGGGTCTGTGGTTTTGGTTTTCCCAGCATCCTCGGTGATGAAGTTCTCGGCATTTGGCCTCGAAACTCCGAGAAGGCTGACGTGAACTGTGCTTGTGTTTCCCACACTGGCCTCAGCCTGGTCACCGGAGACGACTTCGGCCACATCAAGCTCTTCGATTTCCCCTGCTCTGAAAAATTTGTAAGTAAAGAAATGTTCCTAAATGCTGGTTCAGACGGGTCCAACCTGATCTGTGCTCCTCTTCCAGGCCAAACACAAGCGGTACGTCGGTCACTCCCCCCACGTGACCAACATCCGCTTCTCCTGCGACGATAAATATGTCATCAGTGCTGGAGGCAGCGACTGCAGGTCAGAAACTCACGTCAGCCTTTATTCTCCTAACAATTAATTCAACCTTTATTTAGTTAATCCCATTGAGCCTCGAGGACTCATTTACAAGAGAGACCTGAATTTTTTAAAGAGTGATGACAGCAATGGACAACAACGACAACAATAGGCAATCATAAAAGATGCATCCAATTTTTTTTTTTAACAAGTTAAAATAAAATGGCAACCAAAAGGACAATCAAAAGGAAAAGTAGCGAAAAAACCGAATGGATGTAAGGTGGTGTAGAAAACTAAAAACAGGAACATGTGCATTGGTTTTTGCCTGGAACTTAACAAATGTTTGAAGCCATTTAGAGAAGTCAAGGTCGAGAGCTTCAGATCTTTTTGCAAGATATTCCAGGAAACAGGAGCGGAGTAGGAGAAAGCCCTTTTGCCTAGTTCAGCCCTCACTGAGGGGACACGGCATGTAATAATGTCCTGAGAGCGCACGCTGTAGCTGCACTCACGCAGTGGCATCAATTCAATTCAGTTTATTTCTATAGCTCCAAGTCACAACAGAAGTTTTCTCAGGACACTGTACAAAACATTTAAATACAGAAGCACCAAGTCCAAAAGATGGCCCTCACAGAACTGACAGAGTAACTACAGAGGATCTACAGGGTAACTAAAGAGGAACTACATTAACTACAGGGTAACTTCAGAGTAACTACAAGGTAACTTTATGGTTAACTACAGAGAAATTACAGAGTAACTACAGGGAAACTACAGAGTAAGTACAGGGTAGAGTTGCATTCGGGCCCAAAAAATCAGATCTGACCCGGCCCCAGCCCGCAGTTGTAATTTTCAAACCCCACACGACCTGACGAATTAACAGTAATTACAGGTCCGAACCCGGAGAAAAACCCAACATTTTTAATTAGTTATTAACGGTCGGGGATGCGCAGCTAAATAAAAGCGGCAGAAGATTCGGAGCTGAGAGGTGTTTGTACTTTCATGGCCGTAAAAAAGCATTTAAACCCCGTTTCTGCCTGCATTCTTGTGAATTACTGAGACACGAGGACAGCCCTGACACATGTCTGCTTTGGGATCTCACCTGTTTGTGTCGTCTGCTGCGCGCGTCCACTAAGTGCAGCGGCTGAATGAACGTCCATTTGGGCGATGGGTCGCTGCCAGGCAGTACAGTCCCATTTGAAGCTTAATTGAACTTTTTACCTCTGGTGGATGTATAGCAGGCCATGTTATCATATATTTGGATCGCGTCTGATCCTGACCTAATTAAAAGCCCGAGACCGCCCCGCCCATTAATCACATTATAACAGCCCGGCCCTAATCCGGGTCTGTCCGGGTTTCAGGTTAGAAATGACAGCTCTACTACAGGGTAACTTCAGAGTATCTTCACCATAACTACAGGGTAACTTCAGGGTGCCTTCAGAGTAACTACAGGGTAACTTTATGGTAACTTCAGGGTAACTTATTGTAAGTGTATGGTAACTTCACTGTAATTTTATAGTAACTTCAGGGTATCTTTATGGTAACTTTATTGTAATTTTATGGTAACTTCAGGGCAACTTTATGGTAACTTCAGGGTAACTATTGTAAGTGTATGGTAACTTCACTGTAATTTTATAGTAACTTCAGGGTATCTTTATGGTAACTTTATTGTAACTTCAGGGCAACTTTATGGTAATTTCAGGGTAACTTTATGGTAACTTTATTGTAACTTTATGGTAACTTCAGGGCAACTTTATGGTAAGTTCAGGGTAACTTTATGGTAACTTCAGGGTAACTTTATTGTAAGTGTATGGTAACTTCACTGTAATTTTATAGTAACTTCAGGGTATCTTTATGGTAACTTTATTGTATCTTTATGGTAAGTTCAGGGTAACTATGGTAAGTTCAGGGTAACTATGGTAAGTTCAGGGTAACTATTTTATTTAACCTTTATTTACATAGGTAGTCTCATTGAGTCACTGGGACTCATTTTCATTTCATGGTACGTCCTGTCATCAGTTCTTGTGTTTTCTCTGCAGTCTGTTTGTGTGGCGATGTCAATGAAGTTTCTGGGGTCCAGATGAATGCTTGCCCTCATCTTCCTCTTCCTGCCTTCTGAGGATCAGCAGTCTGGTTTTCTGGAGGCTGAACTGACCCTGGATCAGTTTTCTGCTACTGACAGAGGGTGTCGAATCCTCCTCCTGAAGTTTCAGGCCTTTGTTTTGTTCAATTTCTGGAGAAATGTTTGAGCTCCAGCAGATGTAGCCGTGTGGTGTAGCGTGTTCTGTGTTTGTGCCTTTTCTACCACCTCTGACCAAACATCAACACGACTTGAATCATGGTGCTGTACTCAGTTAGGGCTGCTACACAAGTCTTCTGTTACGTTTCTGTTTGTGGTGAAGATGAAGATGTAGCTCTCTGCATTAAAGAGAGATCAGTGTTTGATCCCAGACTTTAAAAGCTCAAGGTGTGATAAAAAAAACTAGTTTGTTTTGAAAATTTATTCTACCTCTAAGAACAGAAAAATAAAAAAACCTTCAAGTAGGAAATAAATGTTTGTGTGGGTGACTCTTCCAGCCTCATGATTCCCATGAGCAGAACGTCTCAGCTGATGGTCTCTGCTGGTCCTTCCATAGAACTGAACCAACATCTGACCACCCGGAGCTCCCGCTGTCTGAACGATGCTTTCTGTCCAACAAGAAGACTTTGAAGTCTAACTAAAACAGGTGTTTGGACTGAGGGCAGCAGGTAACAGTGCTCCTCTTTTTCTGACTCAGCGTTGCCAGATATGTGATATTTACAGTGTTAGTCATTTTCTACCTGGCAACCTGTTTTGACTTTATGTTCCTTGGAACCTGAAACTCTCCTCCTCTGCTCTTCAGATGACAGTCAGTGAATCTAGATTCATCTTTATGTTTCCATGTTCCCCAGAAAGCCTGAAGGTCAGAATGCATCAACTGAACCTTGTGATGTTTTCTTCTGTAAATGAATAAAAACTCAAGTTCAGAATGATTGTGTTCTTGTCCTTCTGTCATCAAACCAGAAGCCGCTTTAGTCTTTTCAGGGTCCACCACTTCCTAATCCTAATCCACTTCCAGATGGGTTTCAGTCCGGTCTGAAAGAGGGGGGACGTCCAAGGTTCTGGTTTCTGGTGGCAGTGAATTCCAGAGCCGTGAGACAGAGCTGCTGCACAGTGGTGAAGTGGGTGAAAGGGACCGTAAGCAGATCTGAAGGAATGGGATGGAGTGGAAATGCGGAAGAGCCCAGACGACGAAGGAGGGGTGAGATTGTGGATGGCTTCAAATGTGTTCAGAAGAATTTAGAAATCGATGTGAAGTTTGACCGAAAACCAGTGGCGCTTGAGAAGATCAGGAGGATGATTCTGGTGAGGAGTAGGGGTGGGCGGATCGATTCAAATATATATACCAACATGGGTATTGATATTGATCAATACCAGTGTAATGAGACTACTTTAGCTTCAGTTTCTCTCTTGTGTGCACTGGTGCAGTTTCATCAAAGATGCGAGCCGACTATCTGTAAGTGACGCTCCCGTCGCAGCACAGAGCAACTTTGCAAAGACAGGCAGGGCCCACAGAGAGGCTTCTGGGAATATTTCTTTGAACTCAAGGCTTTGGAGGTTAATTTGTTATTTACACTTTATTTAATGTATTTTCACTAATTATTTTTGATTTTCAATTATTTTTTCAATCCCAGAAAAATTCACTTAAGAGAATAAATTTTGTTTGATTCCTTTATAACCTAAATATATTTCACTGTTTTATAACATTTCTTGTGGTGTGATAACTTTGTAGAGTTTATTTAAGAAAAATATCCAGAAAAGGAGTGCAATGAAGGGATAATTTTTATTTAATTATCATAGTTTCTGAACACGTTTTAATTTATTCTTGAGTGATCATTTTTGTGCACTTAGTTTAAGGAAAAAAAATCTAGCCATCACAAGGTATGGGGAATATGGTTTTGTTACTGTTCTATTTTTTCAGAAAAAAAAACTTATTATAATAAAGTCTTTTTTATTTACTTATAAACTTTGCCTAATTCTCTCCTGGGTTTTAACTAATAAATATGATCCAAAGGAAAAATCACAAAGCACTTAAACGTCATCAAAATTCACCGTAATTCTAAAAAAAATATCGTATCAGTATTGGTGATATTGGAACTGTATTTATTTGGTATCGATAGTGAGGAGTTCTGGATCACTTTGGGACTGAGAGGAGATCCTGCTGCTCGTCGCTTCAAAAATCTCAATAACATCAGAAAAACTGGTAACACTGCGAGAGTACAGCAACACGCGTTGTTGAATATTTAGTTTTTATTGTACATTATGGGATTTTTAGAGTTGTTCATCATACAGAGGGATAAATTATCGTACAAACACGATAATGATCGTACAGATACGATCATTATCGTGTTAGCAGCAGTTCCCCTCCGGGCCGGCAGGGGCGCTGTTCTCCAGCCTTTCCCACCTGCAGATAACCGTCATGGTGGCTCCCAGTCTCAGGTCTGTTTCACGGTGAAACTCGGTACCAGTCGTTTCCAGAATGAAGTGAACAGATTAACTATTTCAGGTGAGTTAAAACGGGCAGGAAGCCCGCGATCCACGCAAGGAGTCTCGAGCTGCTGCCTATCAGTTTGAGACAGAAGAAATGAACGAAGCACCAGACTTCACTGAGAAAAAGTTGTAAATTACCTCCGGCAGGAATGAGCGCGTGAACAGGACCCACCTGGGGTCATTTATGACGCGTGAGCTTCTCTGCCCTCGTTCCGTTTCATCAGGGCCACCTGTCCTCGTGGGGATCCAGTTTTTCAGAAATAGCAGGAACCCTGTTCAGATTCAGTTAAAGTTGAGCTTAAACCTGTGATTTAGTTGTTTCCTGAAGTCAAGAATAATTTTCTTGGATTAGTAATCTATCTTGGCCTCACTGTTTTCATTCGGCGTCAATTTGATCAACCTCCATCTCCTCCTGGACCTCCTCAGACCGGCTCTGAACCGGGTTTGTGGTTAGGGTTAAAAGCGCTTCTTTATTTTTTTCACATGACTCTCGTGAATTCGGCTACTGTCCGTTTGAAGGGAAACACCTGTGTCCAGTCCACCTGTCCTGCAGGTATGAACGTGATGACATCAGTGATGGGTGGCGCACGCAGGCTCGTCCATTCGGACCTGCCTCTTCTCAGAAACTTCCTGACTCCGCCCCTCCGCCTCAGACTTGTTCGGAGCTCCGCCCCCCTGCTCAACTGTCCTCTGAACAGGACGTTTGCCTCTGAAGGATTCAAGGATGAACAGGTAAGAACCCCGACCAGGTGGGTGAACGTTCCTCAGTGGGTTCTGCTACAAGTGGTCCAGACTTTAACACCTGATAGACTAAAACTAGAACGAACTCAAAAGTCAAAACTGGTTTGCTTAGTTCAGGCACACCTGGACTAACCCTTACCTGTTCCCCCTCACCCCAGCAGAGACCCTGGCTGGGTTTGAAACCTGCAACCATTTTACTGCAAAGGGGGTCCTCAGACCTGATCCTGACCCTAGCCAGGCCTGATCCTAACCTAAGCCAGACCTGATCATGACCTGATCCAGACCTAACCCTGGGTCTAGCCAGACCTGATCCAGTACTACTGATGACTCAGCTGCCTCTATGAGTCCGAGCTAACTGCAGAAGAGACAGTTCTGTGGCTCGACCCATCAGAATCTGAAGTTCTGAGCATCAGACAGTAGACCGCAGAGACTTTCCTTTGTGGAAATTCCTTCAGGACTTTATGTTTGATGGTTTTGTTGGTCCCTGACTGGAACCACCAACACGGACCTGAATGTGTTGCAGGTCCAAGGTCAGAAGAATTACCAGAAGATGCAGGGACTGAAGGTCAAGGACAATCAGAAAGTGGAGGTGAACATCAGAGAGGGGATGACAGTCGCAGAGCTCACTGCAGCTATGAACAAAGACTTCGGTAAGAACGGTCAGAACCGGTCCGTGTTCTTCATGACACAGTGAGCGTCTACTGAACCAGGTCTCTGTTCTCTCAAAGACCACATTGTGGAGCTTCTGCTCAACACCTCAGTGGACCTGGACTCTCTACATCCAAACTCGGTTCTGGAGGAGAAGTGGATCAAGGAGGTGGTGACCCGGTCAGGAATGCAATTCACATGGGCCAAACTGAGCAAGAAAAAGGAGCGACCCAACAAAGACGCCCATCCGAGGTAACAGAAACGCTGATCCAGGTCTGGAAGGTTCTGCTCCTGAACTGGACCTTCTCAGTTCTAGATCTGGGTTTCTGAACGCATCTAGGCACAACACATCAGTCCTATCTGACCCTGCAGGCCGCCGGCAGATCCGTCGCTCCTGGTGAGACGCCCCCCGGTGGTGACCATCATGGGTCACGTGGACCACGGGAAGACCACCCTGCTGGACGCTCTGAGGTCGACTCAGACTGTTTCTATGGAGGCCGGAGGGATCACGCAGCACATTGGCGCCTTCCGGGGTACTGATGCCACTTCAGACTCTGACCACGACACAGACAACAGGAAGTGAATGTTTAAATAATCCACTGAACTTTAATTAATCAAACATTTTATTGCTGTTCATTTTCAAAATAAAAGTCCCTGCTGAGAATTATAAATTCTAACAAATTAAGAGTTGAGCTTTAAACATGTAGTTTTTTTTTTCTCCCAGTTCAGTTGCCTACAGGTGAGAACATCACCTTCCTGGACACACCTGGTCATGCTGCCTTCTCCTCCATGAGAGCCCGTGGAGCCAACGCCACTGACATCATCATCCTGGTGGTGGCGGCCGACGACGGCGTCATGAACCAGACCGTCGAGTCCATCCAACACGCCAAGACAGCCAAAGGTAGGAACTGTGCCAGGAGGGCACACCTGAGGGCTCAGACCTCGAAGTTCTAATGATTCTCTGATTTTTTTGTTTTACTTCCTGGTTCTGATTGTGGTTCTGGTCAGCCCAGTTCCCATCATCGTGGCAGTGAATAAGTGTGACAAGCCTCAGGCCGACCCTCAGATGGTCAAACGGGAGCTGCTGGCCCACGACGTGGTCTGTGAGGACTATGGAGGAGATGTCCAGGCCATCCATATCTCCGCTCTGAAGGTGACCCGATACCACCAGAACCACAAACTGGACCACTGACTGGACCTCTGACTGAACCACTGACAAAAACACTGACTGGACCTCTGACCTGAGGTGACCCAGTATAACAGAACCCTGTCCTAGTAAAACCTTGTTTATGGCGGCAGTCAGCCTTCACCGAACATCACCCTACAGGTCAGTGATGTTTTATTCAATAATGTCACTGTTGCCAGGGCGACAACCTACTGCCTCTGGTTGAGGCCACGGTGGCGCTTGCTGAGGTTCTGGAGCTGAAGGCGGACCCCACTGGTCCTGTAGAGGGGCTGATCATCGAGAGCAGTACCCGTAAAGGCGAAGGGTGAGTCCTCCCTGGGTCTCAAACCACCAACAGAACGGGTTCTGGTACTGGGTCCAAGTAGAACCATTAGTATTGGTTCTGATGGTCAAATGAGATCAGGTCGTAGAACCGGTTCTGGTTTCTCCTCAGACCCATCACCACGACCATCGTCCAGCGGGGGGTTCTGAAGAAAGGCTGTGTTCTGGTTGCGGGGAAGTCATGGGCCAAAGTCCGCTTCCTGTATGATGAGAACGAGCAGGTGGTGAAGGAGGCGGGACCAAGCGCTGCCGTCCAGGTGGTGGGCTGGAAGGAGCTGCCATCTGCTGGAGACACAATACTGGAGGTGGAGTCCGTGGTGAGTTCCGAACCAGGAAAACAAAGACCGGATCCCAAACCTAAACCGAGTCCTGGTCCCAGACCGGACACGACCCAAGTGTTGCTGCAGCATCTTGGTTTTTATCATAGCGAAATCAGTTTTTTGTTTTCAGTTCTTACTTTTGTGTTTCCTGTTGATGTGGAACCGTTTCCTGTCTGTACCCCGCCACAATAAAGGCCTGTGGTGTTTGTGCTTCTGCAGCAGCGAGCAAAGGAGGTGGTGGAGTGGAGGACTTACCAGGTGGAGCAGCAGAAACTCCTGGAGGAGAAGATCGCCATAGAGCAGAAACTACAGCTGCACCTGGATGAGTATCGTCAGAAGAGGGAAGCGCTAGCTCACTTGAGCTGGCGGAAAAGGAAGTTGGTTCTGTACCAGGCCTTCCGGACCCAGCAAAACACGAAAGTGAGCAAGAAGACGCAGAGCGAGCAGCGCAGCCTGTCCATCATCCTCAAAGGTACTTGCCTCCGTTAGGCTGCTCCCACTGTGACATCACACACTGAGCGCGCTCTGACCCACAGGTGACGTGGACGGCTCGGTGGAGACGCTCCTGGACATCCTGGACACCTACGACGGGCAGCAGCAGTGCCAGCTGGAGCTGGTCCACTTTGGTATCGGAGATGTGACCGAGAACGACATCAACATGGCAGAAATGTTCGGAGGTACGAGCAGCGGGCGGCGCCGGTTCTAGTGAGACCCGAATCACACCCACACTTGGTTGTATAGAAAGTTCTTTCAGTCCTCTGGGTTCTGTAGAACGGGACCGGTCCACTTTATTCATTTCACTATGAAAGGTTAACAAACAAAAAGCCAAACTTCAGGACGGGTCCATCAGAACCTTCTCAGACCTGGTCCCTGAATGAAGATTTGTTCTGATCTGTTAAGGTCCAACATTCAGGAGGGTGGGCCAAAATCTGAGCCTCCTGACCGGCCTTTCTGAGACAGAACCAACGACTGTTCTGGATCTGGTTGGAATCAATCACAGAATACGGGTCCGAGAAGGTTCTACAGACATTCTTCCTGTTACAAGTGGGTCTTTGTTGAGATTAAAATGGGATAATGTCATCCAGGTTCTGCTGAAAACTAGAATTGGACTCAAACTGACACCAGGATGGTTCCACCGATCCAGATCAAGTCCTGCACTAGTACAGACTGCTAGTAGAACCTTCAGACCCGAAACAGTGGTCAGAACCCATTCAGGTCTCAGTGACACTGATAAAAATCTGGAGATCCGGACCAACTGATCTATGGTCCCTGATAATCCTCCATGTTAAAGCTCTGGACAGCCTGATGCACTCAGGGAATGCTGCGTAAATCTGATCATCCTGAATGAAGGGAACATGGATGGGTTCTGGTGGCACTGGTCCACTAATCAATATTTTAGAATTGGTTTTGGCTCCAAACTGTCAGAAAAACATTAAATCAGAAACGTGTGTATTCATGGCTCTACCTGTCACCAGGTAAGGAGGTTAAACCCCGCCCCCTTCCAGACGTGTAACTCTGCCCTCTGGATTTGGAGAGTTGAGATCCTGAATAATTGACCAGGAAATATGTGAATAAAACGGAAGTAGAAAACTGTTCCGTCCATCATCTGGTTCTGGACTCTGGGTAGAGACTGAAAGAACCACATCCCGGATCCAGGAGGTTTAAAGGAGTTCTCTCTGCAGGGTAGCTGAACTCTCCTTAGAGATCAAGTGAGAAGTTGTTTTCCAAGAGAGACTCGGAGTAGAACCGCTGCTCCTCCCCATCGAGAGGAGCCAGCTGAGGCTCAGACATCTGGTCAGGATGGATCCTGGATGCCTCCTGAAGGAGGTGTTCTGGACATGTCCAACTGGGAGGAGATCCCACGGAAGACCCAGGACACTGGAGAGACTATGTCTCTCAGCTAGTCTGAAACACCTTGAAGTCCTCCCAGAAGAGCTGGAAGAGATGGCTGTGTGGAGAGAGGTCTGGACCTCCCTGATCTGATGCTGCTCCCAGACCCGAGTTCAGGACCAGAGTTGAGGGTAGGAACGTAGACCGAGCAGTAAATACTAGATAGCGGATTTTTGAACACTTCCACTTGAGACAGAACCTGACTCTGGACCTGGAGAGGACAGTCCAACCTCTGACTGACACAGACCAGACCTGCAGGTTCACAACATTGGGTTCAGATTGATTGAGAACGAGGAACATCCCTGTGGACAACGAGGAACAACCCTGTGGGACAACGGGGAACCACCCTGTGGGACAACGGGGAACCACCCTGTGGACAACGGGGAACCACCTTGTGGACAACGTGGAACAACCCTGTGGACAACAAGGGACCACCCTGTTCACAACATGGAACCACCCTGTAGACAAAGAGGGACCACCCTGTGGAACCACACTGTGGACAAGGTGGGACCACCATGTGGACAACGAGGGACCACCCTGTGGAGAACAATAGTTCCGTCATGAAACATGTCGGTCATGAAAACAGAACTAGAGGTTTGGATTTTCAAGTTCTGCAGATCTGGGTTCCTTCATGTGACTGTCTGTAAGGTTCTGATGGACAGAATGAAGTTGATTCTATCTGCTTCAGGTGGAACATTGTTCTGGACCACCTGTCTGTCTGTTCATCTCCCTGCTCTTCATCAGTCTCCTCCCCCTCAGCTTCCATCTACGGCTTCAATGTGGTGGCGAGTCGAGCGATGCAGCAACGTGCGGCGAACAGCGGCGTCCCAATGCATTTCCACACCGTCATCTACAAGTTGATGGAGCAGCTGAAAGAGGACCTGAGCAGCCAGCTGCCGCCACTCATCTCACACAACATCCAGGGTGAGTCTTGGGTCAGAACCACCACCACATGTCTGTTAGCAAAACATCTCCTGATACTCTGGACTGGTTTTAGATTGGATGAACATTTCAAAATGGCTGCCACAGTCAGCCGATGTTCAAGGTGGTAGTTGCTGAGAGTCACCCCAAACACAGAGCCGACTGATGGAAGAGGACCAGAACCACCCTGAAGGTTCGGAAATGGCTGACTTGTCCGGTCCAAAACTGGCAGGTGACCTGGAACCAGAATCTTAACTGGTGAGTCAGACCTGAGGAAAGTCCTGGCCCAGGTTTTTATTTAGATCTTTTCACAAAACAAAAACATCTCAATGTTTTTTTTATAAAAAATCTGATCAAAGTTATGAGAAAGAACCTGACCCGGGTATGTTAGCCCTCAGAGGCTGTGTTGGGTCCGACCCTCGGCTACTACCAGCCTCATTTCACCTGAAAACTCAGACGAAAAATGTTTAAATATGAATAAGCCACGCCCTCTTTAGGTACTTTGTCCAGAACCAGCGCTTACTCAACACAAACATTTAGTCCAGATTTATTTTCAGAACTCGGCTCAAGTTTTTCATTTGGACTTTAGAACCCTCATCTGTTGGTTGTAGAACCAGGTTCTGAGTGGTTTATCAGAATTGGATTGGACCTTCCCTCTGCTTCAGGTGAGGCCACGGTTCTGGCCACGTTCCAGGTCTCCGTGGGGAAGAAGAAGGTTCTTGTGGCCGGCTGCCGGGTTCAGAAGGGCCAGCTGGATCGGCGCCACAAGTTCAAGCTAGTCCGTGGACAGGACACCGTGTGGGAGGGTGAGTGTTCAACCCTGCGGGGCCGTCCTGCCAGATGTTTAGGTTCCTCTGAGCGATTCTTTAAAGAACATGTCAATCTGCCAAAACAAGCAAGCTTGGTTCTGATGAAGACAGGAACATCAGCAGAACATCTAGGTACCGACGGTAACATCTATCTGGAGGTTATGCTGATGTTCCTGTTGTCAGAAGAACGTCTTCAACTCAGAGGTTCTCTGATGTTCCTGCAGGTTCTCTGTCGGCACTGAAGCACCTCAAGGACGACGTTCAGTCGGTGAAGACGGGGATGGATTGCGGTCTGTCAGCAGACAGAGATGTGGACTTCAGAACCGGTGACATCATTGTGTGTTTTGAAGAAGTGGAGGTTCCTCAGACTACGTCCTGGGACCCTGGGTTCTGAGGTTCTGTCTTAAACTGAATTAGAACCCATTTTTTTGTTTCAACATTTATTTAACAAACATTTAATAAAAGAACATTGGTTGAAAACTTTCTTGAATATGACAGACAGGAGGTTCTGCAGCAGGAGTCTCAGGAATTCCTGCCCCTCTTGATGGAACCAGTTTGACAAGTCTGTCACTTCTTCTTGGGTTTGACGGGCTTGGCGAGCAGAACCGAGTCAATCTGATCTGGACTCAGTCCTCTGATGGAGAAGAGTCGAGTGGCACGCTCTGACAACATTCCCCCGCACTTCAATCCTCGAGAGACGAGTTCCTCCTTCAGAACCTCCAGACCCAGAGACTCCAGCTCCTGGATGGACGTCACTGAGGACAGGTCCAACTGCTGAGACATAATGACCCAGTTTAATAACATGAAATAAAACCCAACAGAACCAAAACTCAACAGTTCAAATCAAAATGTTGGACCAGGTATTGACCTGTGGACCTCTGGACTCTGATGGTTCTAGTTTCCTCTCCTCTGAGGGGACTTCGGGCCTCTGCTCCTCTGAGGGGACTTCGG